ACGGTATTGGTTGTTGATCTGCAGTTTATATGCTTTGTAATGTTGATTCAACTCCTAAATTTCTTATGAAGTTTGCCTCTTTTTTAAAAAAATCTGATATGGTTGTTTCTGAGCTCCTTAAAGCAGTTACATGATTTTCTGTTGATATTAATGTGCCTCACGATAATGAATTTTGTAGTGTTGCATCATCATATTTCTAAACTAACTTCACCTAGTTGGGTACAGTCGTCCTTAACCTGCTACTGGATTTGATTTTCTAGTCTCTGTTAGGATGTTTGCAGCTGTATTTAAAAGTGAGATTTGTCTGCAGAGTTCCTTTTAGAGATTTCTTTGATCAATTTTTAGCCTCAGGTTTTTCCAAGTTTAAAAATGAATAGAAAAGCTTATCTTTTTATGTTTTGAAACAGGCAGAGAAGTAGTTGCCCTTGAAGACCTAAATCCATCCGGGCCAGAACCCTAGGGCTGTGCTGCCTTCCAGGGCAGAGTCCGATCAGTTCTGCACCTCTTCTCAGACTCTTCCAGAACATGGTCTTTCATATCTGTTAGCTTAGAGCTAGCTGCACTTGGTATGCTCTTCGAAATCTTCTTCATCTATCATCACATTATTTAACTCATCCCTAAATTCTTGTGTTACTATATTTGTGCTTCATCATTTTTATCTTTGATTAACTTTTTCTACTTTGTTGGCTTTTTCAAAGAACCAGCTCTTAGATGTATTTTTAGTTCGACTGTTGTTGTTTTTAATCAAATGGTTTATTTCTTATTATTTTCTTTCTCTTATTTTCCTGAGATTCATTTTGTTAATTTATTTTTGCCCTTAGCTTCTTCGACTAAGTGTCTAATTTGTTACACTAATTTCCCATCTTACAACATAAAGCATCTAAGGCTACATATTGTCCTCTAATTATAGCTTTGGCCTTCTCATATTTGTTTTTATACATAACACTGTCATTGCCACTAATTCCTATGTAGTTTTAGCAAGAGACAATTTTTTAAACTTCCAGATGCTTTGATATTTTTTGTATGTCCTTTTAGTGACTGGCTTTGCATGAGAATTTGATCCTTACAATTTCTAATTGTTTTTTAATTAACTAAAACTGCTTTTGTGGTTGCTCTATAGTTGAATTTTCTAAAAATTTTTAAAAGAAATGTATTCCCTACTTGTATGTTTCAAAGATAGATCTAGGTATGTGTGTTTCTGTTTATGCACATTATCCAAATTCAGATGTTTAGAAAATACACATTCCATACTTGGTACTATCAGAGTTTTGCAAAACATGACATTCAGATCCTCTTTTTTGTTGTCGTTTATGTGATCTGTCAGGAACTTTAAAAGCTGAGTTAAAGCCTTCTATGAATAATTGCAGTTTGTCAGTTTTTTCTTTGATTTTTCAACCTTTTGCTTTATATAATTTTGTGTTATGAAATCCAATAGACTCATAATCAGACAGCAGCCTTTATATTTTCCTTGGCACTGCTGCCCCTCACCCGTCTGCCACAAATTAGCCTGGCCCCTCACTGTGCCCCGCACTGTACCCCCACTGTCTTCCTCTCTGTGCTCGCCCACCCTGATTTTCTCTGCACCATCTGTGACAGTCTGTCTAGTGTCACTCCCGGGACACTAATTGACATATAACACTAAGTTTCAGGTGTACAGCATAGTGATTCGACAATTCTCTGCATTCAGCTATGTCCCCCACCCCATAAGTGCAGTCACCACCTGTCACCACACAACGTTATTATAGTATTATGGACTGTATTCCCCGTGCTGTCACTTCATCCCCATGACTCACTTATTTTATACCTGGGAGTTTGTACCTCTTCATCCCCGTCACCTCTTTCACCCCTCCCCCCATCCACCTCCCTTCTGGCAACCATCAGTTTGTTTGCTATATTAAGAGCCTCATCTTTAGGTTTGTCTCTTTTTATTCCCTTTGTTTGTTTTGTTCCTTAAATTCCACATATGTGTGAAATCACATGATATTTGTCTTTCTCTGACTTATTTCACTTAGCATGATACTCTCTAGCTCCTTCCATGGCATTGCAAATGGCGAAGTCTCATTATTCTTGATGGCTGGGTAATATTGCATTGTGTTTATGTACCACATCTTCTTTATCTGTTCATCAGCCAGTGGACATTTGGGCTTTTTCTATAGTTTGGCTGTTGCTGATCGTGCTCTTGTAAACATCGGGGTGTATGGGAATATTTGTGTTTAATGGAAGAATTTAAAGCATCCACATATATTGTCCCAGCGGATCCATGTGATGTTTCTGGCATTTAATTGTGCTTCCTGGCCCTTTTTTCTTTCATTTTTTATATTTTACTGTATTTCTCAGGTTTCTTTGCTTTCTCAGTTACTCTTACTCATTTTTCTATTGTCTGCAGAATTTTTTTAGAAATGCTATGTGGGTGGGCCCATTCACACCTGAGACTTTTATCTTTTACATGAAAGCTAGGCCGACTAGGTGGACATCTTTGATTCATTTTAGTTCCTTCTCAGAATTCTGCAGTTGCGGTCTCATTGTTTTTCTGTCTACAATCTTGTGGAGAAAAAGTTTGATGCCTTATTTAGTTATCTATTGCTGTGTAATAAATTACCTTCAAACTTAGTGATTTAAAACAATGAGCATTTACTACATCGTAATTTATTTGAGTCAGGAATTCAGGAATGGCTCGGCCAGGTGACTCTAGCCCAGGGTCCCTAGGGAGCCGTGGTCACAGTGAGGGACTGGTCAGCTCTGTGCTCACCTGAAGTCTTGGCAGGGCTGAGGATGTGTTTCTACAGTGTCTGCTCTCCCGGCTGCCGGCTGGAGGCCACGGTTCTCCCTCGTGGGCTTCGGCGGGGGCTGCATGAGCGTCTTCATGTTATGGCGCTTGGCTTCCTTCTGGTGGGTAACGTGGGAGAGGGCCAGGCACCAGCCATGAGGCCCTCTGGGCTTATCTTGGAAGTCACCTGCTGTCGACCACAGGCCGGTCTGTTGCTCACACAGGCCAGTGACAGTTGAGTGTGTGAAGATCTCAGAGGACCGTGCGAACCAGGAGGCAGGATTAATTGGGCCCCCCGTGGAGGCTGCCCGCCGCACACCAAGTAACTCTTCCCTTGAGGTCCTTTTTGTATTTCACTGCATTCATTTCAATCCTTTTCATATTCATTTCATTTTGAGAGTAAGATTTTTCACCAAAACACCTTACTATGGGCACCTCTTTTAATTGATGTGTGTGCGGTAGTGTGTGTGGGTGGGTGTGATATGTGTGATCTGCGTGGTGCAGGTGCACCCATGGAGAGCGAGGCCGAGCTGGGTGCAGAGTCCCTGGTTCTTCAGCCCCCACTCCCCTCCCGTAGCAGGCAGGGCAGGATGGCACTCAAGGCCCCCCGACGGGGGGCAGTAGGGTGAGGGGTCGTGGAGGACAGAGCTGCACCCACATCCCAGTGCCCAGCCCTGACCAGCCCCCACCCCACCCCGCCAAGGTCCCACAGTGACCACAGTGGCCGTCACCAGTGGTTGATGGCTCTGGACCTCTTTGCTCTGACTGAAGCAGCCTGACTTCCTCTTGGCTTCCAGGTTCTTCGGGAAGCCCCTGGCTTGCCCCTCATGCCACCTTCCCAGGCCCTGCCTCGGCCAGGTGCTGCCCCCAGCCCTCCCTGAATGAGCCTTCCCTCAGCCAGGAGCTCCCCTCAGCCTGGGCACCTCCAGCGCCGCATGCAGGAAGCCCTCCTGGATTCCCTGGCACACCCCCTGGACAACCGTCCCCACCTTGCTGGGTCACAGCCTCTGCCTGCAGGATCATGGCCTCTTGACCTGCCCATGGCCTGTGCTGGGAAGGCAGAGCTGTGTCCTGTTCACCCCTAACTTTACCAGGACCAACCCCTCTTACCCGAGCAATCTTAAACCTTAAACCTGCCCCCCAAAGCTACCTCCTCTCAAAGGAGGTGATGCATTGAAGGGCATCACAGGAAAACCTTTCCACAAAAGCTCAGTGAGCACCACTCGCGCCCCCAGGCCCCCCAGGGTCCAGCCCACCGTGCTCCCCACTGGCAGGCCAGGAGCCCCCGCTGGGCAGCACGCTTTGTTGTGTCTGCCCTCTGCTGTGGGGGCCCCGAAAGGCGGAGGGGTGTCTGTGTGAACCGGGTTGAGCGAATCCTGCCCGAACCAGCCACGTCCTCCCCCCGCCGCCCCCGGCCCCCAGAGCCCACACGCCACGCAGCCCGGGCCCGGGTCCTCTCCCCATCCGGGTGCTTGCCAGGCAGCCAGCGAGCAGGGAAGACCTGGCTCCCGTGGAGACGGGACAGGACACAGTGAGCCGCTCTGGGGAGGGACCCCCCCACCCACTGCCGCTGTCCCCTCAACAAGGCAGGACCCTGGCACTCTCCTCCTGCCAGCCCCCCTGGCCTGTCTGCATCTCAGCCCCCACTCCCTACCACGAGACCCCTCCCCCTGGCCTGTCAGCATGCGGTCAGTTGGGTGGCTGGCATTCAGTGCCAAGGCCCAGCCCACCCCAGCCTGAGCCTCTCCTCCCCCCCCCCCCCCCCGTCAGCATGCGGTCAGTTGGGTGGCTGGCATTCAGTGCCAAGGCCCAGCCCACCCCAGCCTGAGCCTCTCCTCCCCTCCCCCGCTACCCCTCCTCCCAGTCACCCCCAGCTGACCCCCCTGCCCTGCCCACCCCCAGGCCCCCTGTACTGGGCTCCGTTGTCACCAACGCCGGCTGCTGGCACTTCAGTTTCTGAGAACGCACGCTTCTGCCCAGGGCACCCGGCCCCACAGGGCACAGACGGACCATCTGAATCCCCCCAGAATCAAGCCCAAAGCTTGCAGCCTCTTAGTCCACTGACTGTGTGCGGCCCCCACCTAGGGCGAGGGAAGCGGGCATCCCCCTGGGCCCACGGCCGCCGCGTTGTGTGTACCTCCCCACCGTCTGGGAGGAGGGCCCCAGGGGCCCCCGGGGCGCAGCGGCACGAGCCGCGGGCGCCGTCTGCAGTGGCCGCCCCTCCCTGTTGCAGGATATCAGGGCGCACGGGTGCTGCCAAGATGCTCCGGGGCCCCTGCTCCGCCCTCCTGTTCTGGGGGCTCCTGGGGGCCCTCCGTGCCCAGCAGCAGGAGGTCATCAGCCCCGGCACCTCTGACAGAAACCACTGCCCAGGTACTGGCTGCGGGGGGGCCGGGGCCCGGGGTGGGCAGCGGGGCCGCTGTGGGGGCAGAGGCTCCCCGCCCCGGGCAGGCCGGTGACACGTCCCCGCCCCCCAGAGAAGACCGACTGCCCCATCAGCGTGTACTTCGTGCTGGACACGTCGGAGAGCGTCGCCATGCAGTCGCCCACCGACAGCCTGCTCTACCACATGCAGCAGTTCGTGCAGCAGTTCATCAGCCAGCTGCAGGACGAGGCCTACCTGGACCAGGTGGCCCTGAGCTGGCGCTACGGCGGCCTGCACTTCTCCGACCTGGTGGAGGTGTTCAGCCCGCCCGACAGCGACCGGGCCTCCTTCACCAGGAGCCTGCAGGGCATCAGCTCCTTCCGCCGGGGCACCTTCACCGACTGCGCGCTGGCCAACATGACCCAGCAGATCCGGCAGCACAGGAGCAAGGGCGCCGTGCACTTCGCGGTGGTCATCACCGACGGCCACGTCACTGGCAGCCCCTGCGGGGGCATCAAGATGCAGGCTGAGAGGGCCCGCGAGGAGGGCATCCGGCTCTTCGCCGTGGCGCCCAGGCAGAGCCTGCTGAACGAGCAGGGCCTTCGGGACATGGCCAGCACGCCCTTGGAGCTCTACCGTAACAACTACACCACCATGCGGCCCGACTCCGAGATCAACCAGGACGCCATCAACCGCATCATCAAGGTCATGGTGAGCCGCTCCCCGGGCCACGCCCACGCGCCGGGCACCGGGAGGGGACAGTGGGGTCCAGAGCCCTGGACCCACTTACCCAGGACGGCAGCGGCCAGTACACTGCTCTGGGCCTCAGTTTACCCCTCTGAGGGAGGCAGCAGAAGAAGGTGTCCCCTGCTCCCGTGCCCTGTGTTCCCACCCAGATGTGCGGCCCTGTCTGCAGCTTCGGCTAAGCAGGGTTTCTCTGTCTTTTCTGCAGAAACACGAAGCCTATGGAGAGGTGAGAGGCGTTTTCCGTTCCTGCCAGCCCTGGCCCAGTGCTGCCCGCTGGGCCTCTGAGGGCCAACCCACGAGAGGCTCCCCCCCCCCCGCCGCCCCCTGGTGCTTCCCAGCGTCTAGGACACAAGCCGAGGCCAGGCAGCGAGGCCTCTCTGCTCCACGTTGGGCCTGAGACTCTGAAGTCTGCATGAAGGGCTCCTGTCCCAAACCAGGCCGCTTCAGCCCCAGGGTCGGCATTAGGGCCACCACAGGCCCACACCAGCAGGGCCCGGGCTGAGGCCCCGGGTCACCCTCCAAGCCGGCAGGCTCTGTCCACCTGAGCCAGGCCAGCAGGACGGGGCAGGGGCCGTGTGCTGCGTAGCTCAGGACCTTCGGCTCTGACGCTCCCCCGTCCCCATGCGTCCTTAGCGCCAGCTCACCGCCGGGAAGGGGTGCTTCGCACTCAGCGAGGCTCTGCAGACACGCCCTTTCCCAGAACAGCTGCTCTGGACCCGAGCATGTGTGGGCTCGGGCCCCCCGGGCACCTCCCGAGTCCGCCCCTGCCTCCAGCCCCGTGCTCACCAGTGGGCCTCCCACCCGGGCCTTACTCGGCGCCGCTTGCTTCTTGTTTCAGTGCTACAAGGTGAGCTGTCTGGAGATCCCCGGGCCCCCCGGCCCCAAGGGCTACCGCGGACAGAAGGTAAGACGCCTGGACGGCCCACGGGCCTGACCTCCTCGGCTCCAAATTTAGGACCAACTGCACTTCAAATGGCCTCAACACTCTAACCCCAGAGGAACCAAAATTCAGTTTTTATCTACGTGTTTTTACAAGGCGTTTGGAGAAGAGCAGGAACACTTTCTCTCGTTCTGAGCGCGGCACAGCAGCCCGCTGCAGCTTCTGCAGTAACGCGGCTGCAGGTGCATACCAAGCACTGCCATCTTCCTTACAACATCACTACCAGCGCGTCAGAAATACCACTGGTTCATGTCAGAGGTTACAGATAAAGGCAGAAGAGGGCGGGCGGGCCTGGGGGGCTGAGCCCCCCTGAAACACAGTCACTGGGCAGTTGTCACCACGTAGCCTCGCGTTTTCCCATCCCTAAGGGAGCTGCGTAGATCAGTAGACGCGTAGACGCACGTCCACCGGGTCTCCAGCCACACGCTCCCCCTGCCCCACATGCGGTGGTGCCCAGGCATGGGTGTGGCCGCCGTGCTCCTCCCGGGTGGGGGCGTTGGAAGTGGCCTCTGGGACCACGATTGGCATCTGAGGGGACCCAGAGGAGCCCCAAAACAGGACAGCAGTACAGAAGCCTCTGTCCATCCGCTTCCTGCGGTCTCTTCGCCTCTTCCTGCCTTAGTTTACCCCTTTTTCCATCATCTGCTTTTAGGGTGCCAAGGGCAACATGGGCGAGCCAGGAGAGCCTGGGCAGAAGGGACGACAGGTGAGTCCTCCCCGCCCCTGCCCCTGCCCCGGCGGCCCCGCGTCTCCAGGACTGGGGTTATAGCCACGGCCTCTGTTCTTCTTCCACAGGGAGATCCAGGCATCGAAGGCCCCATTGGATTCCCAGGACCCAAGGCAAGTTGCTGCCCACCATGGCCAGTGGGATGTGGGGACAAGCCTGGGCCAGGTGGGGCCGGCCACCTGCCCCACCCCCAATGCAAGAAGCAAAGCATCTCAATATTTTGGAAGTTGTCCCTGAATCGAGCACCCGGCCCAAGGCTGGTGCTCAGCCGCTATTCCCCTGAGCTCATGGGTGCAGCTCACACCCCCCTGAGCCCATGGGTGCAGCTCACTCCCCTCTGAGCCCATGGGTGCAGCTCACTCCCCCCTGAGCCCATGGGTGCAGCTCACACCCCGCAATAACACTGCCCTTCTTTCCTTCCAACCTCAGGGTGTTCCTGGTTTCAAAGGAGAGAAGGTGAGATTCTGACTCCGCCACGGCCCCAGCCCCCAGCAGCATCCGTCCGCGAGCATGCGGCCCCAGTCAGGGCATGGGACCCGTCATGGCGCGAGTGGCCCTCTCTGGGGCCCTTCTGGCCTCTCTGGTCCGAGGCAGACCTGGGCCCCTGAGGCAGCAGGGTCTGTGACGCTGGGGGCGTCGAACTAACCCGCCTCACCTTCCTCCTGCACAGGGTGAATTTGGAGCTGACGGGCGGAAGGTAAGCGGGCTGTGGGGGCCGGGCGGGCAGGGTGCCCCGCCTTCCTGCTACTCTGAGAGCTGACGGCTGCCCTCTCCCTGCAGGGGGCCCCTGGCCTGGCTGGCAAGAACGGGACCGACGGACAGAAGGTAGAGCGTGCCTCGGGCTCCCTCCCCGGGCTGGGCGGGAGTGCAGGCCGTGTCGGCGTTGCAGACGGTGGGGGTGAGCAGAGCCTCCCGGAGACTCTCAGGCTCCTATAGGGCCAGGCCTCTGGGCCCCACTGGCCGCTGCCCACGGCCTGTGGCTGGACGGGTCCCGGCAGTGGACGCGGGACAGATAAGAACACGGAAAGAGCCAGTGGCGCTTGTTCCTGAGGACCCAGCCCGTGCTCCAGGTCTGGCCCGCCTGGCAGGCCGCACACGGGCGCACGTGTGGGCACCGGGCAGAGGGCACGTCACGGGCACTCGCCACCACCCCACAGAGATGCCACCGTGCAGTCGAGCCGCTGAAACAGCCGCTTGCCCGCCGGGTGTGGAGTGGCGCGGACCGCACCTGCGCCAGCACCCGTCATTGGCACACGGCCCTGACGCGCCCTCGCCCTCTGCTCCCCTCTTCTCCTGCAGGGTAAGCTGGGCCGCATTGGGCCTCCTGGCTGCAAGGGAGACCCCGGGAGTCGGGTAAGCCCAGCTTGTGTTCCCCCTCGGGTTAAACCCCTGGCCCCGGGTGCCCGGCGGGCGTAGGCAGGGTGGTGGCCGCCCCGCGAGCTGCAGCAAGGAGGCCTGGGCCCTTCCTTCAGCCCTTCTCCTGCCTGTGGCTGACCCCCACCCAGGGTTCAGCTGGGGTTGTGGTCACACGGGAGGGGATAACCTCAGGGACTTCGGGGTGAGCTCAAGGGCGGCTGCTTCTCAGCGTCCTGACGGTGGCTCTGGCAGCGGAGACGCAGGCGGAGCACTCAGCCCCGATGATGGGGTGCTTGCCACCCACCCCCAGCCCACCCCGAGCTCACGGGGAGACCCTGCACAGCTCACAGGGAAACCCCGGCCCCGAGCTCACGGGGAGACCCTGCACAGCTCGCGGGGAGACCCTGGCCCCGAGCTCACGGGGAGATCTCGGCCCAGCTCATGGGGAGACCTTGGCCCCGAGCTCACGGGGAGACCCTGCCCAGCTCACGGGGAGACCTTAGCCCTGAGCTCACGGGGAGACCCCGCACAGCTCTGGGCAGGAGCCAGGACAGCCCTGTCATCCTGTCTTGCAGGGCCCCGACGGATACGCAGGGGACGCTGGCAGCCCTGGGGAGCAAGGGGACCAGGGCACCAAGGTAGGCTGCCTGGCCGTGGCGGCGGGTCCCCCAGAACAGACCCGGTGGCCCCCTCCCCGCCTGCAGCCCCCGGGCCCTGGGGGAGGCGGCCTGGCCAAGAGACCCAGCAGAGGGGGCCTGTCCCTGCAAACCGGCCATCGGGCAGGAGGCCTGGGAGTGTCCTGCCCGAGGCGTCACAGGGTGCCCGCGCCCAGGGAGCGGGGGTGCGCACATTCAGGAGGGGCACGTGGTGCACACATCCTGGGGGTCATGGGGTCCCCGTGCCCAGGACAGCACGGGGTACCCAGGCCCTGCGGGTGCTCTCACACAGGGGCCACAGATGCCCTGCCCGAAGCGGTAGCAGTCGGTGGCCAGCTCAGGACCGTGTGTCCTGGCTCAGCTCTGCCCCGATGGCCACGGCAGCAAGGCCCAGTCCCCTCCCAGCCTCTCCGCGCCCCCCCTGGAAAGCTCTCAGTGCCGTGGGTGTCCTGCGTCCACCCTCCTGGCTGCCCGGCCGCGGGAGCACGGGAAGTACAGCCCTCCCCGGCCCACGTCTGGTGGACGCCCCGCAGCGTGGGGGCCCAGCCCTCGAGAGCACGTCCTGCCCTGTTGCCGGCGTCCGGGGGACGGCAGACAGACTGCTCCAAACTTTTTTCCAGGGAGACGCTGGCCGCCCAGGACGCAGAGGACCCCCAGGAGACAGCGGGGCCAAAGGCAGCAAGGCAAGCGCCCCCAGCGAGTCCCCGCCCTCCGGCCGCAGCCACACACCAGCCGGCCGCTGGCTCAGAGCGGAGCGACGGAGGGGCCTGTGCCGGGCGACCCCGGGCCCCACGCCCACCCGGCGCCGGGCTCTGGCGTGAGGCCGCTCCGCGGGGCCCTTCCCCGCCGTGGCTGACGTGTCTCCTCTCCGCAGGGATATCAAGGCAACAACGGGGCCCCCGGAAGTCCTGGTGTGAAAGGAGCCAAGGGCGGACCTGGACCCCGAGGACCCAAAGGCGAGCCCGTGAGTTCATGCCCCTCCCCCACCAGCCCCGGGGGCCCAGAGGTCAGCGGCGGCGTCCCGGGTGGGCTGGGCCCTGAGGGGACGCCCGCAGGGGCGCCGCGCGCCCTGCACCCTCCTGGTGCGCCCCTTGCCCCCCAGTGCAACAGGCCACCCGCAGGCCGTGTTCGGGGCAGGGAAGCACCCCTGCTGGCCAGGCCCCGCGGCGCCTCCGCCTGGGAACCCGCCTCCCGTCCCCACGGCGCCCTCCCAGCAGGCCGCTCGAGGGCCGAGCCTCCAGGCAGGCCTGCACTGCGTGGGTCCCTCGCAGCGACCCCACCCGGCCCGCCCCTCGTATCTACTGCAGGGTGGATGGGACCTGGTCCCGGGCTGACCCTCAGAGGGGGCACATCCCGAGGACTGGCCTCGCCCAGAAGTGAGCAGGGTGACCGTGCTGATGGCTGCTCCAAGCTGGGGGCCAGTCCCATCAACTGAGCTCCTAATCCACTAGGTCTTTCAAGCGGATCAGGAGCCCCTCGTTTCCTAAATCCTGGGCTGCAGAGGACCAAGGCCCCTCCCCCAAGGCCCATGTCCAAGTGAGGAGAGCACAGCATGGGGTCCCCACGTGGCCCCCCCACCAAAGCCTCCCCTGTTCTCTGCAGGGCCGCAGGGGGGACCCAGGAGCCAAGGGCAGCCCAGGCGGTGACGGCCCCAAGGGTGAGAAGGTGAGTGTCTGAGGGGCAGCGGTTGGCTGAGTCTGCACCAGCCTCTCACCATGGTGTCGACGGGGCCATGGGACACCAGACAAGCAACACCTCCCCACCGCCTTCCACCCAGGAAAACAAAAGTGACCCCCGGGACGTGGCCATTGGTGGAGGCAGAGGCACCCCCTGCAGGTTCTCAGAACGCAGGTTCTCACGTCCTGCCGAGGAGCGTGGGCAGGGTAAAGCGTTTCATGAGTGCCACGCACAGCTGCCCAGGCGCCGCACTGCTCCACCCCAGAGCAGACACACACACCCCTGTAGCTAACTCAGGACGTCTTTGTCTCTGTGGCAAAATCCAAGCGCCGACTGTTCCCCATGAGACCTGGGTCAAGGGCTTGAATGGGGGGCTTCCTCCTCTGGGAAATGGGTAGCAGTAGTCCCTACTCTGGAGCAGGAATCTGCGTGGGCAGGGCCGCCGTCCCGGTGTCACTCGCCATAATCTGCGTCCCCCCCTCCCCTGCCCCTCCACATGCCACAGGCTCACTGGGCCTCTCTTCCAACAGGGAGACCCTGGCCCCGAGGGGCCCCGGGGTCTGGCTGGAGAGGTTGGCAACAAAGGAGCCAAGGTAAGTGGGACCGCCCATCCCTCCGGGGCAGGCACCCAGCTCCCTGGCTGGAGGGGGCACTCGGGACCCCCCTGTCCCTCCCCTGCCCAGGACCTCTCGGAGGGCAGAGGAACCTCCCACCCCTGCCTAACCCGCAGTGATCAACAGCGCGGTCTCGGAGGTGCCTTCATCCGCTTTCTTTTCAGGGAGACCGAGGCTTGCCTGGACCCAGAGGCCCTCAGGGGGCTCTCGGAGAGCCCGGCAAGAAGGTCAGTGGCCGGACACCTGGGAGGGCCCTGCGGTTCTGGGCCCTCGCCCTGTAAGGCCCCTGGGGCCCTCCTGTCCTCAGGACTCTGCCCCCAGGCAGGACTCTGTCCCCAGGCAGGACGCTGTCCCCAGGCAGGACTCTGTCCCCAGGCAGGACGCTGTCCCCAGGCAGGACGCGGTCCATCTCTGTGACCCATCAGCAGCACAGTGAGGGGACAGGGGCCACCGTGCGCCTCACACGAACGCCCTGCCCTGAAGGGTCCGGCTTTATCAGGCGCGAGGCAGCAAGGGGGGGCCAGGGGGTGGGGCCTGGGGGCCAGGACTCGGCAGATGCAGGAGGGGAGCCGGGCGGTCACCCCAGGCCGCCCAGTGCCCCCAGCGGCAGTTTGCAGGAGGTGCTCCACCCCCACTGTGCTGACTCCGCCTCCTGTCTGCCCTCAGGGATCTCGGGGAGACCCTGGTGACGCTGGGCCCCGTGGAGAGTCGGGGCCGCCTGGTCCCAAGGTACCCATGCCCGCCGTCCTCACCTGTCTTCGCCCTCTCCCTTGGGGGGCCACGTCCTTCCCCAGCGCGGCCCCCTCCGCCCTCATCCTACCAGCCTGGCCCCTTCCTTTCCCCCCGGACCCTCCCTGAGGCCCCCCTTCCTGCAGGGAGACCCTGGCCGGCCTGGATTCAGCTACCCGGGACCCCGAGGAACGCCCGTAAGTCCTGGCACGGGTCGAGGGGTCCGCTACGCCCTGCAAGGGCCTCCCTCCCTGGGGGCGGGGGGAAGGGAGTGGGCGGGGTCCCCCGCAGGTGCAGAGCCCCCAGGAGTCGTCCCGACACAGAGCAGCTGTGTGGCGTCACCTGCAGCCCTGCGGCTTTAGACAGGGTGTGACACCTGAGGCCATAAGGCGGGGGGGGGGGTTCCAGACATCTCTGGGCCCCCAGGAGAGCCAGCTGCTCCCCCAGGGACACTCCGTGCTGAGTGACCGTGACCTGTGCTTGCTTCCCAGGGAGAGAAAGGCGAGCCTGGTCCGCGCGGCCCTGAGGTACGTAGAGAGGGCCCCCCGCACCCACCGCCCGAATGCCTCTCCCCTCACACTGCGCCGCCTGCGAGCTTCCTCTGCGCGCTGGTAGCCGCCACGCGCTAGTCTCTGTCAGACCGGAAACCGCGTCTCTCCTGAAATGCTGTGTGTCGTGGCCGAGTAACAAACCCGACTGCCAGGCACCGGCTCTTCCTGACGGAAGCAGGCGTGCCCCCCGCAGACGCCCTGGAGGTCTCGGCTGGGGGTGGGTGGGCAGTGTCCAGCCCCCACCCCTGGCTGACCAGTGTCCCGTGTCTCAGGGGGGCAGAGGCGACTTTGGTGCCAAAGGAGAGCCCGGGAGGAAGGGCGAGAAGGGTGAGCCTGTAAGTACCCAGGGCCAGGGGTGTGGGGAGGTGCAGGGGGCTGCAGGGGGGTGCAGGAGGGTGCAGGGGGCTGCAGGGGGTGCAGGAGCGTGCAGGGGGCTGCAGGGGGGTGCAGGAGGGTGCAGGAGGGTGCAGGAGGGTGCAGAGGGGTGCAGGGGGGTGCAGAGGGGTGCAGGGGGCTGCAGGGGGGTGCAGGAGGGTGCAGAGGGGTACAGGGGTTGCAGGAGCGTGCAGGGGGCTGCAGGGGGGTGCAGGAGGGTGCAGGNCGTGCAGGGGGCTGCAGGGGGGTGCAGGAGGGTGCAGGAGGGTGCAGGAGGGTGCAGAGGGGTGCAGGGGGGTGCAGAGGGGTGCAGGAGGCTGCAGGGGGGTGCAGGAGGGTGCAGAGGGGTACAGGGGTGCAGGGGGAGTGCATGGGGGTGCACGAGGGTTGCAGGTGGTTCATGAGGGTGCAGGGGGGTACAAGGGCATATAGAGGGGGTACAGGGGCTGGGGGTGCAGGGGCTGGGGGTGCAGGGAGCTGTAGGCCTGCCAGGGCTGAGGCTGCCACCCACCTGCGCTTCTCCCTCCTCAGGCAGATCCCGGTCCCCCTGGGGAGCCCGGCCTGCGGGGGCCGAGAGGGGCCCCAGGACCCGAGGTAGGTCGGTTGCTGGTCCCTGCAGCGCTCAGGCCACAGTCCGGCCAGCGTGCACCCCGAACCTCAGGGCTGTGCCGGTGGTGGACCCATGGGGTCAGTGCATGGGGTGTGGGGCTCCCCAGTCTCAGCCCAGACAGGGGCCACCCCTCACTGTCGTCCTTCCACCCCCAGGGAGAGCCCGGCCCCCCTGGAGACCCCGGCCTCACGGTGAGTGTCGGGTGGAGATGGAAATGGTGTCCTGAAATGGGGAAGCAAGGGTGGCGGGGATGAGGTCAGAGGCCGAGGTCAGCAAGAGCTTGCTTTCTTGGGCCGGGCTGACCCCGCTGTGTTGCAGGAGTGTGATGTCATGACCTACGTGAGGGAGACGTGCGGGTGTTGTGGTGAGTCGTGGCCCCCACGGGGCGGAGGAACTAGGACACTTGTGTCCTTGGGGGGCCCTCGTCCAGGGGTCAGGGTCATCGGTCTGGGTCACGCCCTCCCCCTCAGGGTCACTGTTGCCACTGTGCACCTGGCCGTGCACCCGGGGCGGGTCCCCCAGGGCCTGGGGTCAGTGCACACAGCCTCCGCTGCTCCCACTGACCACGCCCCTGGCCCCCAGACTGCGAGAAGCGGTGTGGGGCCCTGGACGTGGTGTTCGTCATCGACAGCTCCGAGAGCATTGGCTACACCAACTTCACCCTGGAGAAGAACTTTGTCATCAACGTGGTCAACAGGCTGGGGGCCATTGCCAAGGACCCCAAGTCGGAGACCGGTCAGCTGCGCCCACGGCGGGGCGGGTGGGGAGTGGGGAGGTCCCACTCACGGGCAGGGAGGCCAGGCAGGCAGGACGCCCTGAGGTCTGCTCACGAGAGTCAGTGGACAGACAGAAATTCAAGGAAGGCGTCTCAGCTCTGCCCAGGGTCCCCAAGGTCCCCACTTGAGGGTGCTGAGCCATGCAGAGCAGGGCCAGCGGGCCAGCGGGCCCGCGCCTTTATGCCCGTGTCTGGCCGCCACAGGAACCCGCGTGGGCGTGGTGCAGTACAGCCACGAAGGCACCTTCGAAGCCATCCAGCTGGACGACGAGCGCATTGACTCGCTGTCCAGCTTCAAGGAGGCCGTCAAGAACCTGGAGTGGATCGCGGGGGGCACCTGGACGCCCTCGGCCCTCAAGTTCGCCTACAACAAGCTCATCAAGGAGAGTCGGCGCCAGAAGACCCGCGTGTTCGCGGTGGTCATCACGGACGGCCGCCATGACCCCCGGGACGATGACCTCAACCTGCGGGCGCTGTGCAACCATGACGTCACGGTGACAGCCATCGGCATCGGTGACATGTTTCACGAGAAGCACGAGAGCGAGAACCTCTACTCCATCGCCTGTGACAAGCCGCAGCAGGTGCGAAACATGACCCTCTTCTCAGACCTGGTGGCCGAGAAGTTCATCGACGACATGGAGGATGTCCTGTGCCCGGGTGAGCGGCAGCCAGACTTCCCGGGCCCACCCGGCAGAGGGGGGGGGGGACCCAGCAGGGTGGAGGGGCTGGGGCAGCCGCGGGCCTAGGGGAGCCCCGCCCCTGCCGGCCCCAGCAGAGACTGACCGGGACCCTCCGTCCCTTTCCTTGCTCCTAGACCCTCAGATCGTGTGCCCGGACCTTCCCTGCCAAACAGGTACCTCGGGGCGCTGCCAGCCCCCCCCCGACTAGCAAGCGGCCCAGGGCTGGGGAGGAGGGGCCGCTGCGGGACCCTCCCTGGCAAGAAACCTTCAGGTTGGCGTCTCAGCCTACAACCAGTTTCGTGGCCCCAGGACCCTGGCACATCCGAGGAGGGGCTAGGGGTGAGGGTTGACGTCTGGAGCCCTTGGGTCATCACCGCCCCTGCCACGCACAAGGGAAGGGTGCTCCAGCCAGGCCTGCACTTGGCTGCCGGGCTGCTGGTCTCCAGCGCAGACTCAGCCTCGTCACCTTGTGGCCCCCACCCTTTGGGGGGCAGACACCCCAGAGCGTCTCAGCTCCCACAGGCGGAAGCCCTGGATCCAGTCCACAAAGTGGCTGATTTCCACTCTTGCTCCTGCCTCACAGCCCGGGCCGCCGCCCCTGGGAGCTTGCGTTCGGGGCCTGTGCCCCCGGCCTGACAGGGTTGCGCCGAGTTTGAGGATGGAGTGCTGGGCGCACAGAGAGGCTGCCCCCGGGTCCTGTGGGGCCAGGGAAGGGGCGGACGGCATCGTCCCCGCTCCGCTGGCATCTGGACGCCACCCCCAAGGCTCTCCTGCAATGACTGAGGACAGGGGGCCCTCAGAGGCACCCTGGGTGTGGCGGAGACCTGCCCGCCCGCCTAGGTCCCCTGTCTGGGCCGCGGGCACTGGGCCCGTATCCTCCCAGGAGCCGGCTCGGGGGGCTGAGGCCCACCACGGGGGGCACGCGGGTCTGTGTTGCCGGGGCCAACGGAGGACCCAGCTAGGACACGCGTGGCCTGCGTCCACGTCCACGTCTGCCGTGCGAAGTCAGCATCTCTGGGCTTGCGTGTACCCCCTCGGGGGCAGGTCTAAAGGCACAGAGGCAGCCCAGGGAGGAACTGTCTTGGGTTGGGGGCAGGAGTCCCCACGCGTCCTCTGGCAGGGAACATCCCGGTTGGCCATGCTGTGGTGTGAGTTCGGGGGTCACTGTGGACACTGCCTTGGCCTGGGGTCCCCAGAGTCAGCTGCCGATGGCTGGAGGTAGTGCCTGCAGCTGCCTGAGCCCTGAGGCCAGTCTCTGCTGGGGGCCACACGGAGCTGCCGACCCTCCCCCAGCTGTGCCCCCGACCCCCTGCATGGCACCCCCGCCGTCCTGGAGTGGGTCCCACCGTCAGGCTGGACCCTCGAAGGCCGGAACCCAGAGCCTCACCTCTGGTCCAGGGCCCGGCCGTGGCCCAGCTGTGGCCCGGCCGTGGCCCGGCCGTGGCAGGGAAGCTTCAAGCTTCTCAGCACTGAGTATGAAGTTGGGTGAGGTTCTTTGTAGTGGCTTCTTGTCAAGCTGAGAGGGTCCCTGTTCCTGGTCACTGAAGACTTCGTCACGAACGAGTGTGAGGCTTGTCACGTGGTTTTTCTGCATCTTTGGGTAGGATCGTGTGACTTACCTTCCTTAGCGTGTTGTGATGGATGACAGGGATTTTCAGATGGTGATCCAAACCTGCAGACCTGGGGTAAATCCCGTCTGGTTGTGGTGTACACACTGTTTTCAATACTATGGGATTTGGTTTGCTACTATTTCCTTGGGGACTTTTGCATCCGTGTTCATGAGAGGTATCAGGGTGAGTTTCCCTTCTTGTGAGATCTCTGGTTTTGCTGTTAAAAGTAACATGGTCCCCTGGGTGCTGACCTGGCCTCCCCTGAGCCTCCAAGACCCTGCATTACAGGGCAAGGACCCCCAGGAGACCCTTCTCCACCTTCTCCTAACTACCTTTTCTCGCTCATCCTTTAAAGTGACCAAAATTTCCAAGTATATTAGACCGCGTGACCAGAGAGGAAGAAAGCAGATGTAGCTGTGGCACAAACCACCCCCCCCCCGGCACCCTGGGGGCCGGGTGTGCTTTTTAGCATTGCCAGGCTGCAGACAGGATGTTAGGTGGATGCTACTGGCTGCGGCGTGACCTTGACCTTCTGGCCAAATGGCTCCATCCACCCAGAGGCCTTGGCCACCCTTAGGCTTGGACCAGGCCAGGGAGCAGCTTGCTTGATTGGGTCAGAACCATGAGGGCTTCAAAGAGAAACAGAGCTGGACCCCAGGTGAGGTGCAGACCGGGCTTGCTCTGGGTGGCAGCTGCAGGCGGGGGGTCCCGGGGTGACCGGAGCCCAGCTTCCCTGGAACAGAGGCGGGAGACCCTCTAGGGCTGGGCGTGCAGAGGGACAGACACTGGACAGTGTGTGCGGGGGTGGGGTCCACGGGACCAAGGCCGCCTGGGTTTGCTAGCCGGCACCTACCCGGAAGAGACAGAAACTCCTGAAACATTAGGACAGGAGGCGGTGGTGCACCTGGAGCGGGGCGCCCACAAGGTTAGGCCCTGGCGCCCCGAGTGCCTGAGTCAGAGCCGCCCCCGCGCCCGTGAGGGGACAGTTCTGGGCAGTGGAAGGTGGGCTCTCAACACAGGGAGGAGGACTAATCACGGCAGGCTTTCTGGTAACTCTTCTGAGAGGGGTCTGGGGGCCCAGCTGCCCATCCCCAGGTTGGGGCTGGAACAGACCAGTCCCCTGGCCGCACTGGCCTTTCTCAGTCGGCTGTCGTATGTGGGTCTGGGGTCCCCCAGGGGCATGGCCTCGAGCCGCCTGAAGCCAATCCCGAGACTGCCCAAGCTCACCTTGTGCACCAGGAGTCTTGCCGGTCTCCAGGTCCCCCACCCGGTCTCCCCGGCAACCACTTCGCTGTGGGCTCCCCAAATCCCCCATGACCTGTGGCACCGCGTGCTGACTGTGGGGGTGTGCAGCCCCCCCCCACCCCCTTGCCGAGCCCAACACCCGCTCCTCGCTTGGGCCCTCAGTCATCCCAGAGGAGAGAAGCACCCCGGCTCAGCCCGGGAGGGCGGCTGGAGGCGCGCTCGCGCCAACTGAGTCCCTTAAAGCCTTCTCTGGGTGCCCCTGCAGATGCACCGCGGCCTGGCGGCGAGCCCGCGGTCACCTTCCTCCGCACGGAAGAGGGCCCGGATACCTCCTTCCCCAGGACCATCCCCCTGATCCAACAGTTGCTAAACGCCACGGAGTTCACCCAGGACCCGGCCGCCTACTCCAGGCTGGTGGCCGTGATGGTCTACACCGCCGAGCGAGCCAAGTTCGCCACAGGAAACGAGCGGCAGGACTGGATGGAACTGTTCATTGACACGTTTAAGCTGGTGCACAGGGACATTGTGGGGGACCCCGAGACCGCACTGGCCCTCTGCTGAAGCTGTGGGGGCTGCCCCGCCCCGCTGCGTTAACTCCCTGAGGCTGCTACCATGCACTGAGGGCCTTAAAACAACAGAAATCTATTCTCGCTCAGCCTGGAAGCTGAAAATCCAAGACCCCTGCCGTGGCAGAACCGTGATCCCTCCGGGGGAGGGGGGGCCCAGGGAGGGTCCTTCCTGCTTCCTCCAGCTCCTGCCTGCCTCCATTGCCACAGAGCCTGTCCCCTTTTGTAGCCTGACTGCCCCGCCTCCCTCTTCTAAGGAGTTTATAGTGGCACTTAGGACCCACTAGAAAATCCAGGATAGTTTCAAAGTCATAATCTAATTCCATCTGTGGGGTTTTTTGTTTGGGGGGGGGGGTGTAAAAGATCATATTCGCAGGCTCCAGGATTAGGATGTGGTCATCTTTGGAGAAGCCATCATTTAGCTAAAAATTGAGACAGAAGAGCAGAGCCTCGTAAATCCACCCAGAACTCCCAGCTTCCCCTCCAGCTTCTGCCTGTGGTCACCCCTTGTGCATTTTGGTCAACCTCCCTGGTTGATGCATTGAGGAAAATGCCCCCAAAGCAGCCTCCCCCACGTGTCTCTGCTGGGAGTGACTGGGGAGTGCAGGGACCCAGATTACTTGCTAGACATCTTCAGCAAGTCCGGCTGCGTGGATTTAAAGCAGAAGCTGCTTTTCATCTGTGCTGCCCTCAAATAAGCTACGTCAGTAATAGAAGCTTCTTAGGGGAAAAAAAAAAAAATCCTGCAACCGTTGCGCCATCTGCTGGTAGCCTGGTGTCCACACCGCTTGGCGACACCCAGGAAGCGTCCTTCAGATGTTGTGACCACATCTCAAACATTCTATAAAAGCTGAAAAAGAACGTGAACGCATTGCTGTGGTCAAGTGCTGTGCCCGGGCGCCGGGCCGCCGGCTGGGGGCTGGGCTGTGGCCCTGGTCATTGGTGCCAGGAGTCAGAACCTCCTTGATGCGATCCCCATGCTCCTGGCCCCCGGGGTCAGCAAGCCCGGACCCACGTCCCAGACCTCACGTAGGGCTGAATGCGAGCAGGCCGGCCGCCCAGCCCCGACTGTGGCCCGGGTTGAAGTCTCCAGGAAGGCAGAGGGGCCTGGCCGCATGTCTGTGGAGGGTGCACCACGTCCCGTGTATGTGAGGGGTGGGTTTGCAGGCTGTGCTGTGGCGTCCACAACCCGCAGAGGTGTGGGCCCCCCCCCACACTGTCTGGCGAGCCCAGGGCTGGTGACCACCCAGACGCCAGCAGGGCCCTGCTGAGGTAACAGGAAGTCACCTGGGCTGCTGCGGGGGTCCGGCCGCCCCTGTGCCTACTGGACAGATGTCCAGTCAGAGGGGACACCGGCTCCTCTCACCCATGCTCCCAAAGCTGGGAGAGGTGTGGCCCAGCATCGCAGCCCTGGGGCCCCAGGGACTCAGGGGGTTATGCCCAGAGGTGCGTCCTTGCAACCTGGAGGTCTTTATGAGATCTTTTTAGTGATTACAAATTCAAAAGCAGCCTCCCTGACCCTCTCTGCCACCCTTACTGTGGACTGTGGCCATTTCGGGGGTCCCCTTCCTGCCCGGGAGGGCCCGGAGGAGGCCAGAGGTGGTGCTTGGAGGGTGGAAATAAGCCTCTCAGCCCTCAGGTTTCCTGGTGAGTGACAGGTTCCGAGGAGATGGGGCCGGACCCCCCCCACCCGTCGCCTGGGGGACACTCTGGGGGGGGGGGACTCGCGATGATGGGTGACTTTGGATGCCACCCCACAACCCCGCGGGTCCTACTGGCTCCGGTGGGGGGCAGTGTACATGAAGAGACGGTGCAGGGCTCGGCCAGGGCCTGCGGCGGCCTCCCGGGGTCGCCCACCCACCACCCCGTTTTGCCCCCAGAGCTGTACGTGGCCCAGTGCACGCAGCGGCCTGTGGACATCGTCTTCCTGCTGGACGGCTCCGAGCGGCTGGGCGAGCAGAACTTCCACAAGGCGCGGCGCTTCGTGGAGGAGGTGTCCCGGCGGCTGACGCTGGCGCGCGGGGACGACGACCCGCTCAACGCGCGCGTGGCCCTGGTGCAGTTCGGGGGCCCCGGCGAGCAGCAGGTGGCCTTCCCGCTCACCTCCAACCTGACGGCCATCCACGAGGCGCTGGAGGCCACGCGCTACCTCAACTCCTTCTCGCACGTGGGCGCGGGCGTCGTGCACGCCATCAACCACGTGGTGCGCGGCGCGCGCCCGGGAGCGCGCCGCCACGCCGAGCTGGCCTTCGTGTTCCTCACCGACGGCGTCACCGGCAACGACAGCCTGGAGGAGGCGGTGCACTCCATGCGCAAGCAGAACGTGGTGCCCACCGTGGTGGCCGTGGGCGGCGACGTGGACGCGGACGTGCTGTCCAAGATCAGCCTGGGCGACGGCGCCGCCGTCTTCCGCGAGAAGGACTACGACAGCCTGGCGCAGCCCGGCTTCTTCGACAGGTTCATCCGCTGGATCTGCTAGCGCCCCCGCGCCGCCCCGCTGTCCCCCCCGCCGTCCCGGGCCGCGGCCCCGCCCCAGCCTCCAGCCCGCAGCCCCCCACTCCCAGCCCCGCCCCGCCCCGCCCTGCGCCCCCGGCCCGAGCCCCGCTGTCCCGGGCCGCCCCGCGCCCCCCTGCCTGCCTGCGCCCCCGGCCCGAGCCCCGCCCCGCCCCGCCCCGCGCCCCCGGCCCGAGCCCCGCCCCCCGCCCCGCAGCCAGCAGGCGCCGTCCTCCCATCCGTGGTGCTGCTCAGACCCCACCCAGAGGCCCCGCGTGCCGTGGCTCGGTCTCTCCAGGTGTGGGTGTGAGGTCAGGAGAAGAGGACCCCTGCCCCCCGCAGCTCCTCCAGGGATCCCCACGGCCCTCCACCCCGCCTGCCCATCTGCCCACACCTGCCGGGACCCCCGAGGCTTCCTGGGCGCCTCCTGGCGGCCAGCGCTCCAGATCCCCATGGACGGGCCCCTCGCCCCGCCCAGCCTCAGCCCTGGGCCCCCAGCCCCTCCCGCGCGCTCCAAAAGCTCTCTGTGAGGCCCCCCAACTCCACTGGCCTTGCTCCGACGTGTCCGCCTGGCCTTTGGAGGTCCCTTGTCCCAGACTGAGCTGTGACAGCAGCCCTGCGCATCCCAGTACCCACTCACCCCTGCACAATAAAGGCTTCGAACCGCCTCCTGCCCTCTGCCTCCTTATGTCTGCGCCCACCAAGGACCCCCGCGGAGGCCGTGGAGACATTCAGATGGTTCGGGCGCCACCAGCACTGATCGCGGTGCCCCAGCTGGCCTCTCCTAGGACTGCCTGCCCCCCACCTCCTCTGACCACTGTCCCCATGTGCACTCGTCGTGGGCCCCGTCCCTGCCCACTTAGCTCGGCCCTTCCCTTCTCCCAGCCCCAAACACACCACGCAGGCACCGGTGTGTCGTGACTTTACTAGAAGCCACAAGAGATAGGGGGTGACCCCGCTGCCCCAGACAGACCCCGGCCCCACCCAGCCAGCTCTGGGCCCCACAGGGGCTGCGTCTGGAGGCTGGACCCTTCCAGGAAAGGGGGCAGGGCACTGAGGGGTGCAGAGTCCGCGAGGTCCCCCGGCGCCCTCACTCCTGCCGGGCCTCCAGGCGGTCCAGCACCAGCGCTGCCTGGGTCTTGGCTTCCTGCAGGAGGCTGGAGATGTGCTGGCGGGTCTGCCGGACAAAGGCCCAGGCGTCACCCTGCCCCTGCAGCCCGTCCCCCCGACCCACGATCTCTGCCGCCTCCCTGCGCCTTCTGGCCATGCTCCCTGGCCCATCCTCTCTGGGGTGATCCCGAGCCCCTCATCCAGGGAACCCCAATTCCTCGCGTGTCTCTCCTGAGATGTGAGGACTGCCAGGCCCAGGCCCCGCCTCCTGCTATTCCCACTGTAGCCACAACTGCAGGGGCCCATCCTTCAGTCCACAGCCACGTGCTCACGTGGTGGACATCGACTTCCCTCGGAGGTCAAGCTCAGCCCCTGAAAAGGCCTTCACCCCCAGCTGTGAGGTCACTTTTTAAAGATTATTGCAAAAGACAATATTGCAAGAGACAGACGGGTGGTGTCAGGGGCTGCGGGCCGAGGAGCAGTGGTCTTACAATGGGGAAGGGGGTTGCTCATTTTGGAGGGATGGGAATGTTCTGGAACTTGATAGAGGTGGTGGTCACACATGTGCAGAATGCCCTGAGTTGCACACTTTAAAATGGTGAACTGTGTATTCCTCAAACTGACCTCAGTAGCAACCGCAACGGAATGATCACAGATACTGGGGCTATGGTGCCGATCAGGGGGACCCCAGCCCTGGGTGGCCCCCACCAGGCAGGTGAGTGCGGAAGGTGGCCCAAAATGGCCCCAGAGAGGGCATGGGGGCTCCCACCCAGTAGCCCCTCCCCCCTAGCTGATGAGGCCTGGCCACCTGCCACCACAGAAACCCCAGAGAGCACAACGGCCACCACGGGAGGCCGGAGGCACATCTCCTTCCCCAGGCCCCCATTTTGGAACCGCATCCTGAGGGCCACCTCCAGGTCCCGCCAGGGGCCCTGCCCCCACACCCTCCTGCTCACCTGTTCCTTGAACACACTGTCAGTGACGTCCCTCAGGTTGATGAGCACGTTGAAATACGCCCCGAACACACCCGTCTCCAGGGCTTTGGCCGCCACCTGCACAGGACCAGGAGCGGGGCCAGCGTGATCCGGGGGACAGCGTGACCCAAGGGACAGCCGTGACCCGGGGGACAGCCGTGACCCGGGGGCCAGCATGACCCGGGGGCCAGCGTGACCCGGGGGACAGCGTGACCCGGGGGACAGCCGTGACCCGGGGGACAGCCGTGACCCGGGGCACAGCGTGACCCGGGGGACAGCGTGACCCAGGGGACAGCCGTGACCCGGGGGACAGCGTGACCCGGGGAACAGCGTGACTCGGGGTACAGCAAGCTTAGATAAAATCCTTACTGCTCATTCTTAAAGCAGGATGAACAAATAGGCTCTGCTGACCGAGACCGGCCAGGACCCCCTGGGCAGTGCTCCTGTGAATGCCCAACGACCCTCCACGCTGCTCCCCTACAGTGGGAGGCTGAGCCCCACGTACCTGCAGGTCGGACCGGCAGGCCACGTTTCCACACTGTGCCAGCTCCTGCAGTGCGGGCCACAGCGCGGCCACCTTCTCGGCTAGTGCCAGGGGCACGGCCACCGCCTGCCTCAGCCCCTCCTGCAGGGCAGCCTCGCGGCTGAAACCAAGGGGGTGGATGGTGAGAGCCCAGGGCACCCAGGGGCCACCGCCCAGACCCCCCCACAGCTCCACTCCAGCAGACAGAACCAGGGTGGGAACAACAGGGACGTTGTCCCGTCACAGCGCAGCCCCAGAGGGGGATTAAATGGCTCCGAGGTCAAAGTGCCTGGGAGCCCACGGTCCAGGGCGGCACGGCCCCATGGCACGGCCCCACATGGCCACTGCGGCACTCACCGGTCCCTTTCCTCAGGTGTGTTCCTGGGCAGCTTCGTCGCTTCCTGCCAGAACAGAGCACACGAATGCGGGGGGGGGGGGGGGGGGGGGGGGGGATGAGCAGCGGCCGTGCCCTGGGGCCACACAGCGTCCACACCACCACTGCCCCAGGGCTGGCGTTTCTGGAGGGCACGGACGCGCTGGGAGCACTTCCACCAGGTTCTGGGCACTCAGGATTGGGGGGCGAACTCGGGGGCCGGGGTCCCCTCACACAGCACAGGCTCCAGTCACTGCTTGTGCGTTAACACAGGCAACTGTACCACCCTGAGCCTAGACCTAACGGGAGCATCCCCACCCCCGGCCGTACGGGCTCGGGCCCTCCTCCGGACGTGGTCACGCTCACCCCACACTGGCCCCTACGTCACACAGGCCCCCATCCGCGCCCCCGTCTCCCCGGCCTCTCCCTCACACACCCACGTCCCGCCAGGGCCTCGCCGGGTGGGGAATGCGCCTGTTCGAGACTTGGCTAAATCTCCATCCAAAAGTGGACGCTCTGTCAGCAGGCCTGATAGCAAGTGAGCCCCAGCCCTGCCCGGACCTGGCGGGTCACCGCGCCAGCATCTCCTGCTGATGGACAACACACAGCCCGGGTGTCCCGAGGCCGCCTCTGCCGCCCCACCCCCATCTCCACAGCAGTCCTCACACATGTGGATGCTGACCCCGGCTGTCGCATGAGGCAGCCAGGCCGAGTGCTCCGAGTCTCCACTGGGCCGACCGGGGCTGATGTCGGTCAAACCTGCCCTTCACGCGGTCACATCTGCATCGGGTGAGGACGCCACCCACTTGGAGTTAGGCTTGTTGTGAACTTTGTTTAACCTCATCTGGAAATGGCTTCTGCACTTGGCACAAGACAAGGCGTCTCCTTTTTTTTTCAGAACTCCATCTGCTCCAGGGAGCGTGAGGCACCGCACTCCCTCTCGCATGTGTGACTTTCAACAGTGCGGCTCCGGGTCCTCTCTCTAAACCACACAGCCTTGCTGATTATCTTTCTTTTCTTCCCTGTCTTCTGACTCGATTTTCATTTTTCTACTTCCCTCCAGCTGTTTTCTGTTCATTCACCGGATTTCTAATTGCTGGTGGTCAGCCCTAAATGTTCGTATTTATATTTAAACTGATGCATCTCGGGGCGCCTGGGTGGCCCAGTCAGTTAAGCGTCCAACTTCAGCTCAGGTCATGATCTCACTGTTTGTGGGTTTGAGCCCCGCGTCAGGCTCTGTGCTGACAGCCAGCTCAGCCTGTTTCGGATTCTGGGTCTCCCTCTTTCTCTGACCCTCCCCTGCTCATGCTGCCTCTCTCTCTCAGAAATAAATAAAACATGAAAAAAAATAATAAACTGATGTATCTCCCTAGCCACCTCTCAGTGTCTACATTCATCAGAACACAGGGGTCTGGAGAGAACCTTGGAGAAGTCCAGCAAGCACGGCCAGGGAGGCCCTGTAAACTGTGACACGAAACCCAGGAAAGAGCAACCGGCAGACTCTGAGCTCAGGGACGAAAAACCGTGCACCCTACAAAGCTCCTCTCAGGAACCAGCACGAGCAAACAGCTGGTGGAAAACCAGAGTGAGTCCCAAGTGGGTAAGAAGGTCCTAGATGGCAGGAAGGGTGCCTTCTTCTCCAGAAGGGACACAAAACTGCCGTGAGAAGTACAAGAAACGCTTCTTGCCACGCACACTGAGCAGAGCACGCCAGGGCAGCTCCAGGAGACAAACCACATGGTGACTGCAGGTCCGATGGCGGGGGTCCCGGGAGGAGCCCTCAGACCCTAGGGCGGAGCACCATCCGTTCAGCCCCCCAAGGGCCACTTGGCAGCGCCTCCCAAGTGAGAAGCGCACCCACCTTGGGCAGCAAGTCCCGCGATCATTCCCACGGGTGGCCCACGGCGCCCAGTGACGGACGCCAGTGGTGTTCACACAGCAGTGTCCCAGGTGCCCACGAAAAGGCCCAAGTCCCCCGGGGGGCTGGCCAGTGGCACTGTGACCCAGACGTCTGCAGGACACAGACGGTCCTCAACTCACAAGGGTTCGGCTTAGGATTTTCCACTCTAAGTGGTGCCCCGGGATGTGCGTTCGGTGAATACGGTGCCTGGAGTTCCCACGCGGGGTCATCCTGAGGCCGAGCAGCCACGTGGTCCCCGCACACCGACCACCGTTCTGTCCCCACACGGTCTGTTTGTCACTTCAGTACGGTATTCGGTCAACTGCCCGGGACGTTCACCATCTCCGGTGACGCAGGCTTCATGGGCAGCGGTTCGGCCTGTCCGCGGGCTAACGTGTGCTCTGAGCACGTGTGAGGCAGGCCGGCTAACGGTGATATGCGGTATGTTACATGTAGTAAATGCATTTTTGACTTACACTGTTTCCAGTGTATGGTGGGTTTATTGGACGTAACCCCTGGTAAGTCGGGGAAGATCGTGCTGGCGGCTGGAGGGGTGTGGTCTGTATTCCATATAGAAAGACCCGCTAGAACACCAAAGTGAGAAACCAGGAGGCAAACTAAGACCACAGATGGGTGATGCCGTTTGTGTGCGAAAGGAGAGAAAAGAAAAACGCATCTACTAGACTATAGATAGATATCCCAGGACATGTGCCCTAGAACTTGCACCTGTTCAGGGCATGCAGAGGGCAGGGGGAGGCAGGGCGCCGGGTCTTCGCATTCACTACCCTTCCGCCCTTGTGAATTCTGAACCCCCTGAAGCTTTTACCTATTTTCAAAAGCAAACAAATGAAATTTAAAGGTAAAAACACAAATGGGAAAAGGAGATCGTCTCTAACCTCCCTCCCAGAGGACGTGAACTTGAGCTCCAGATGGTGACTTCTTTAGATGAGACTCTGCTCCTCCCTGTGTGCATATGGCCTTCACTCTGGGGGTGCACGGCCCCCCAGCTGCCTGCCTGCCCTTCACCCCAGCCCTGCCCACCAGGTGGCCCTGGGCTCCGGGCGGCTGGGGGCTCAGGCCCCTCCCGATCCTTCCGGCAGGAACGCGCTCAGACACAGACGCACAGCCGGGCTTTGGTCCTGGACCCACGCCCCTGAGCTTCCCGCCAGGGCTCCCCCACCCCTGCCCTGGGTTCTGAGCCCCTTCTCTGTCACCCACCGCCTGGCACCCCAGCTCCCTCTTGGGGGAGCGAGTGGGTTCCGATCCGACCCGCCAGCTCTCCCTGCGGTCTTGTGGCTGGAAGGTCTCCAGTCCCTCTCGGACCGTCAGTCCCGGGCTCTGCTAGGACTTTTACCGCCCGCCACCCTGGGATGTGAGCTCATGTTTGATGCCTTCCTCTAGCGTCTGCAGGCCTGGGTGCCTACCCGACTGCAGGACCCGGGGCAGCTGAGGTGGGTGCCAAGCCCGGACGGACCCCCCCCCCACCCGCCGCTGCCGTGGATGTGAGCACGGGGCCAGCCCGCCCCCACCCTCAGACCTCCTGAACCAGCCTTTCACCGTCAAGGAGGGGCTCCAGCCTCCCTCGGCCTCCAGACACGGGCGCCCGCAACAGCCCCTCCCTCCTGCAGCTCTGTGACCCTGCGGGAGCTTTCTCTCCCCAGCGCGCCCCCCACTGTCCCCCCCACCGTCGGTGGAGCCCCGCTCGCCCCGGGGCTGCCCACGGGCCGGTGGCGGTCCCTCTGAGCACTCACCAGGTAGGCCTGGAAGGCCCGGGCGTCCGCGTCCACCAGCGCGGTCAGCTCGGCAGCGGCCGCGTGGAAGGGCGGGATGAGGCGCCGCATGGTGGCGTCCAGGTGTTCAAACTGGCGCCGCCCGTAGGTCATCAGGCCGGCCATGGAGGCCAGTGCAGCGCCCTAGGCGAGAGCCGAGCCGAGCCGGAGACTCGGGCCCCCAGGCCAGGCGCTCCGGGCCCTGTCCTCGCCCCCAGCCCTCGCCCCGCGCTCACCATGGCTGCGCTGGCCGCTGCCACGGAGCCGCCCCCCGGGGCTGCGGAGCGGGCGCCCACCTCGCGGACGAAGGCACACAGGGGCTTGTCCGCCAGGCTCTTCTCAGGCCCACTGTCGGGGACCAGGTACCTGTGGGGGGTCAGCTCAGTGACGCTCAGAGAGCGGAGGGGAGGGGAGGGCAGGGACAGGGGATGTGTCCTCCGTCATGCAGGGCCAGGGGTGGGCATGGGGCTTTCGGGGACAGGGGGATGGAAGACAGGGTTCAGGGTCACTACTGCCAGGCTGTGGGGGCAGGGCTGGCTCAGACCCTGATCCCTGACCCCAGGCCCCTCGTACACACCCCGTCCCCAACACAGGGGCGGGGACACAGTCCCAGTTTGCAGAGTGGCCATGACCACCCAGAAGCCCTCGTGAGGACACGGGGGGACCTTGTTGGGACCTCACTGTGTCCCCTCAACCAGCCCCAGCCTCGTTTGCTGACGAATAAATGACCAAGTGGAAGGCTCTGGAAGGACTGAGGCAGGGGTGGGGGAGGTGCTCACTCGATGATCCGCTCCTTAGGGTTGAAAGGGGACAGAGAGTCCAGGCCCAGCCGGTTCACCACCTGGAAGAGGGGGCCAGTGATGGTGAGCCACCTCGGCCCCCGTGCGTGAGGCAAGGCGCTGAACAGTGGGGTCCCACCTGGGCTCGCGATGTCGTGCCCGCTCCGATCCACCTGTGTGCGTGGCCGGGCCAAGCTGGCCACGTGCCCACCCCCCAGGAGTTCCCAGGAAAGCCCCCAGCCCAGAGCAGGGCCCCCACAGACCTCCTGACACATCCGCCCACACATCTTACCCCACGGGGAAACTGAGGCCCAGAGAGAGGAAGCGCCCCCATTCCAAGCCACATGCATCCCACAGAAAACCCCACACGTGTGAGCCTGTCGCTGAAAGGTGCCAACAAAACTGCCCCTTTGGACAAGATTTCAATTCTTTGAGTGTCAGTTCTCACAACTGCACAGTCAGGAGCGGCCTGACTCACCTACACATAGGACTTGTTCTGTGAGGAAAAGGAGATTTTACTAAAGTCAAAATAAAATTGGAACAATCTCCATTTAAGACTAGAATTCTGTCCACAAAGAAACATTCAAAACACTACGGTATGAGTGCCAACAGCACAGTCCCCGCGCTCAGAGCCAACGAGTGCTCGAGGGAGACAAGGCAGGAGGCCCGGGGGGCTGGGAGGTCCCACCGAGGACATGGAAACGGGTAAGGGGGTCTCTTGAGGGGCGCCTGGGGGGCTCCGTCAGTTGAGTGTCTGACTTCGGCTCAGGTCATGAGCTCTCAGCTTGTGAGTTCGAGCCCCGCGCCCGGCTCTGTGCTGCCCGCAAGGAGCCTGCTTCGGATCCTCCATCTCCCTCTCTCTGCCCCTCCCCCATTAGCAATTTTTCTCTCTCTCTCCCTCTCTCTCTCTCTCTCAAAATAAATAAACATTAAAAAAAAAGAGTGCCTCCTGAGTGCCTGACAGACAGTCCTCAGCGAGCACTAAGGCAGAGCCGTCTTGGCACAGACCTCAGAAAGGCAAACAGAACTTTGAAAACGAATTGACGTGCCCGGCTAAGCGTTCAGAAAGTAAAGGAGCTCATGCGAGGCCAGAGATGACCAGAAAGGGAACCAGGCAGGCCCGCTCGCCCTGAAGCCGGGCGCCCCAGGGACATCGGGGAACTTCTGGAAGCGGCTCTTGAGCAGGGCAGGTGTCAAGTCCTGAGGAGTGGGGGTCAGACTGGAGGTCCCTGAAAGGGGACATCTCCAGGGATGGACGGGAAGTGGGGGCAGGGGGAAAGCCCACTGAGGGCGTCATTGGGATAGTTCTCAGTCTCTGCCTTCCCTTTGGTGTGCAGGAAGGGGCCTTCCTGGGAATTCTAACCACAGGCCTCCCTGCTGGAGATGTGAGCCACGGTTAACATAGAACTCTCTACACATGGGGTCCCAAAGCTCCAAGCAAAAGACTGAATCTGGGGGGCCCTGTGTGATCATGTCCCCAAGACCTCACGGAGGCAAATCCGAACTTTAACCCAGGTGTTCAAGAACTACCGCATATAAAGTTGCGAAGAACATGCACTTGTGATCAAAACTCACAAAACACATGAAGAAGCAAGTGACTGTGAGAAAGTCCGCAGAAGCGGCAATATGCAAATCAGACCTTCAAAGACTGCAGATATCAGAACTTTCAGATAAAGAATTTTAAAATGTGTTAAAATATACAGAAGAGCATCAAACACATTGATGAGGAATAAATACACGTGGGAGAGGCGAAAGCATTTTCTTACGGAAAAAGCGTAAAATTAGAAAACCATTACTGGCTGCTAACATTTATGGCTGGAATTTCAAGAGGACCAGGGCACTTACATACCCTTAAACTACGTCCCACAGGGCACTCACCTCAAAAGGAAAAACGGAAACGTTGCAGTGGATAATGGCACCTTGACCCAAGGACCCCAGGCCACAGGGAGAAAATAGGCACCCGACCCTGCGCTCCGAGGACAGCACAGCACGTCTGTGCGGCTCCTACCGCCAGCCTGCAGCCACGGCAGCCGTGCGACGCTGTACCTTCAAAGTATGTCAAGGTCAACAAAGGCCAAGAGTACAGGGAACGGTTCCGGATGAAAGGCAATAAATGGCAGTAAATGGCTGTCATCCAGATTGTTCCCTGGGTGGGAGCATAAGGCGCAATAATAGAAATGACAGGGAGGTCGATGCGGTGCAAGGATGGCCTGCAGACTCGATACTGCAACTGTATTAATGTTGAATTTCCTGACTTTCCTCATTGTACTGAGGTTGTGTCAGAGAATGTCCTTGTTCTTAAGAAATAAAACCAAGTACATTCTAGATAAAATGTACAAGTCTTTACCCTGCTCTCAGGTGCTCCCAAAAAAAAACATAACATGACTCTACGTGGCTACAGAGCCAGAAAAATACCGCAAATAGGGCAGATGCGAAATGCTGGTAAAGCTGGAACACGTAAGGGAGGTCCTTGTGTCGTTCCTACATCTTTTCTGTGAGTAGGGAATTATGTCAACAGAAAAATACACAACATTTGTAAAAGATCTGTCCATAAACTGTATCAGTAGCTTAGAGGCTACCTTCGAGAAAACCACTGTGATCACAAGGGGAAAGAAGTGGAAATAAAGTCAAGAAAAGGCAGAAGTATATCACTGCGACGTGACTGGCTTTCTGAAAGTAAAAGAACAAAATAACAGGATCAGAAGTGTAACAGAGGAAAATAGTCCTGCCTCTAAGCAAGAACGGAATCTGTAAATCACAAGGAACATTGCTCCAGAGAAGAAAAAGATGTAGAATAATTGACCGAGGCGTGGATGGCTTGTTGAGCTCTGAGGACAGAGAAAGTTCTGCCGGCATCACGGACAAAAACAAGTCCCTGGAGTTCGGGGAGATAACCAGGCAGTCTGAGACCTCCCCACAAGACAGTTAATTCCAGAAGACGGTAAAGAGAGGTATGCAGTATTCTCAGGGAAAAACAAGAGACTTGGGACTTTTGGCTGTCCAACCGTCTTCCAAGAACGAATTCACAGAAAGACATTGCCAACCATGCCAGAGCCCACAAGGGAAAGCACCATGAGCCTTCATTTACACAATCTGCTTGTGGGGGTGGGGGAGGAGGGAAAATCTGCTTAATCGTGAGATCCAGGCAACAAATAACAAACAGACAAGTGGGGGCCGCCTGGGTAGCTTAGTCGGTTGAGCGTCCGACTTTCGCTTAGGTCATGATCTCGCGGTTCGTGGGTTCGAGCCCCGCGTCGGGCTCTGTGCTGACTGCCAGCTCAGAGCCTGGAGCCTATTTCAGAGTCTGTGTCTCCCTCTCTCTCTGACCCTCCCCTGCTCACACTGTCTCTCTCTCTCAGAAATAAATAAAAAAGAAAAAAGAATTAAAAAAAAAAACAGACAAGTGGGAAGAGAGATGATCTCATCTACGAATAAAGCGAAGATTAAATATACATGCAGACCAGTTACAGAGGGCACTTGTTATAAGTTTGACAATGTAAAAATAACAAGATAACAATTCAGAGCAGAGATGACCACTTGCACAAGTGCACTAAAGTTCTTGTCTTTCTTCACCAAGCCCCAACAGACACTAACATTGATAAAGACTGAAAGAATTAAGCATATTATTTAAACTTAATAATTTGACAACCTAGAACTAATAAATGAATTCAACAAGGAAGCAGGATACAAAGTGAACCCAGAAAAGTCAGTTGCATTTCTATACACTAACAGTGAGCAATCTTAAAAAGAAATTGCAAAAATAATTCCACTTACAATAGCATCAGAAAGACTAAAATAGTTAGGAATTAATTAACCAAGGAGGTAAAAGACTTGTACACTAAAAACTACAAAACATTGTTAAAAGATATTTTAAAAAGCCTAAATAAATGGAAAGCCCATGTTCATGGATTGGAACACTTCTTATTGTTAAGATGGCCGTACTCCCCAAAGCAACGCACAAAATCAATGCAGTCCTTATCAGAACCCTAATGGCGTTTTTTGCAGACACAGAAAAACCCATCCTGGGTTATGATGGCTGCATAATATTATGATGTATATACTTAAAGATGGTTAAGATGCCAATTGTATGTTACAAGTATTTTACTATAAAAGAAAAAATTGAGGGGCGCCTGGGTGGCTCCTTCAGTTAAGTGTCTGATTCTTGAATTCTGCTCAAGTCATGATCTCAAGGTTCAGTGGGGCCTTGAGCTGACAGCGTGGAGCCTGCTTGAGATTCTCTTTCTCTCAAAATAAATAAATAAACTTTAAAAAAAGAAAATAAAAAATTGAAAAAAAAAATTAACTACCAGAAGAATTCCCACCTCCCACTAAAAACTACTATAACTCAAAAAATTCAGGAAACAGAGAAGAAAGATGTGACTAGATGCTAAGTACATTTATGTTCTTACCTCCATAGCAGGCTGTCAGTGTAGTGATAGAAATTGGTAAATCAAATTATTATGTTTGAAAATTTGGATAAAAATTTTAAACCAATAAGTCAAAAACAGAGGTAAGTATGTTAAGTTATAAAGATAATCACCAGAATACCTAAAAAGTAGAGTCTTCCAGGGGCACCTGGGTGGCTTAGTCAGTTAAGCGTCCGACTTTCACTTAGGTCATGATCTCGCGGTTCGTGGGTTTGAGCCCCGCGTCAGGCTCTGTGCTGACTGCCAGCTCGGAGCCTGGAGCTTGTTTCAGAGTCTGTGACTCCCTCTCTCTCTGACTCTCCCCTGCTCACGCTGTCTCTTATCTCTCTCTCTCTTAGAAATAAATAAAACATTAAAAAAAAAAAAGTAGAGTCTTCCATAAAGCTGGAAGGAACTGTGTCCAAAACCCGCACATGCCTGAAAACGGACATAAGAGTCCAGACGTATTTGCTGAATCAGGAAACGCAAAGGGATAAACTCAACTACGAAAAGACAGACCTTCAGAGGGTTTCAGAGCTCACGTGCTCATTGCAGAGGAATTCCAAGTAAAGGTGTCATTGGGAACAATGGCACCAGCCTCTAAATAGCCCGGCAATGTTCATGGGTGCATCCCGGAGTGCCGCGGGCCTAGGGCTGACGGGGAAGTGAGTGCTCCCACCTCCGCCAGAGCAAGGCGCTCCAGGACAAACACCAGAAGCGACGGGGGAAAGTGGTGTGGATCCTCTCCGAGGAATTTTTACAAGATTGAACATCTTCTTGGTCACAAAGAAAACTACGGTTTCCCCGAAATGATAACAGCGCGATCTCATCTAAGCCCAGAGGATAAGGCAGCAGAAGAGGAGGAGCAGCGCCCGCGCTGCGCGCGCCTCGGCACCCAGGCCTGCTCCGAGGGCACCAAGCTTGCTCCCACCGCCCCCACCGGCCCCTCACGCGGGAGCGCAGCCCACCAGCCTGATGCGGTGCTCCTCCTCCAGGATGAAGAGGTTCTCCTTCTTGCAGTAGAAGGCGGCGGCATCCAGAAGGGCCTTCAGAGGCACCAAGCCCACCAGCTGTGAGCCCACCACCGGAAGGCTCAGCTCCTGCAGAGGTCCAGCAGGGTCAATGCCCCCGGGAGCTAGACTTGAGACGTCCTGGGACCCGCCCCACTCACCCGGAGGGACGTCACCCCAGCCAGCAGGGGACACCTGCCCCGCGCACCGGGAGGGGCCCCCACGGCCAGCAGGGGACGCCCGTTCGCTCACCTGGGCTTCTCTGCAGGTCTCTTCATAGACCGTGTGCAGGGCCGTGACCTCGAAGTCCAGGAGGTTTGTGGACACTTGGGCCAGGTTCTTCTCATCCAAGTACCAGCCGATGCCCTGAACCTTTTTCAGGCGTCCAGGCTGCAAAGGAAAAGACTTGCCCGGCTCAGGCCCTGCCCGTCCTCTCCTGGCGCCCGCACTTCCTCTTGCCGCTTGCACCTAAACTCCCGGCTGGCTGAAGGGCTCCCTCCCTCTGTGTGGTGCAGATTACGTGGGGGGGACCCTGTGGGGAGGACCCTGTGGGGAGGACTGTGTGGGGAGCACCGTGTGGGGAGGACTGTGTGGTGGGGACCGTGTGGGGAGGACCGTGTGGGGAGGACCGTGTGGGGACCCTGTGTGGGGAGGACCGTGTGGGGAGGACCGTGTGGGGACCCTGTGTGGGGAGGACCGTGTGGGGAGGACCATGTGATGAAGACTGTGTGGGGAGGACCGTGTGGTTGGAACTGTGTGGGGAGGACCGTGTGGGGAGGATCGACCATGTGGGGAGGATCGTGTGGTGGGGACTGTGTGGGGAGGACTGTGTGGGGAGGACCGTGTGGTTGGAACTGTGTGGGGAGGACCGTGTGGGGAGGATGGACCGTGTGGGGAGGATCGACCATGTGGGGAGGACTGTGTGGGGAGGACTGTGTGGGGAGCACCATGTGGGGAGCATCGTATGGGGAGGACTGTGTGGGGAGGACTGTGTGGGGAGGACTGTCTGGGGAGGACCGTGTGGGGAGGATCGTGTGGGGAGGACCGCGTGGGGAGGAACGTGTGGAGAGAACTGTGTGGGGAGGACCGTGTGGGGAGGACCGTGTGGTGGAGACTGTGTGGGTAGCTGGTCGGCAGCCCTCCTCCTCACTCTCCAGAGCTCTCATCTGAGCCATCCAGGGAGAGACCCTCTCACCACAGGGAAACTGAGGCCCCCAAAGGTCAGGTGCCAGGATGCGTGCTCCACACGGGGCACCAGCTCAGACCTGCCCTGCCTCCCAGGCAACATTTCGCCCACACCACATGCTGGAGGCTTGCCTGGGGCCACCCCCACCCAACCCCAAACTCCTGTGTCCAGTCCCTTCCTGCCATCCCACCCTCACCCCAGAGCCTGGCCCTCTGCTCCTCACTCTGTGGGGTGGCTCAGTCCGCCTAAGAAGGACCTCTGACCTCTGAACTCAGCAGGAGCAAAAAAAAAAAAAAAAGGATTTGGGGTTTGCTGTGTGTGTTGTGCTTACGCACTGCATGTGCGGGTGGGAAGCTGGGCGTTGGGGGCCTCAGCTGTCTGGCAGAACCCAGGTCTCTAGGGGTGGGCGGCTGGCAAGCAGGCAGGATGTCACCCTCCGCCTCCTTCACCAAGGCTCTCTGTGTCTGTGTGTTCGACTCACACTTTCTGCAAGATCAAAGCTCAAGCTAGGAGACAGCTGCTGTGGCAGACGTGGTGGGTCAGGACACCTGGGGCACCTGGAGGCATGTGGGGCCCCTGGGGCTCAGAGGCGCCTCTTTTCCTACTAGAAATGCTGCGGCATTTTAACAATAGCTACGTCCCTGCCTGATTCCAAGCCAATGTCTTTTAAGGCAAGTGTTCCCCAACTTCCATCGCCGGAGCCCCTCCGCCGCCCGGTCCCACTTGCTGGGGACACCAAGGCTGGGCTGTCAGCCGGTCCACACCACGGCGCCTGCCTACCTCTGGCTCTGTCCCACGAGCCCCCCGGGATTCCCTGGGGACGGTGCCAGGCCCTGTGGGGACTGCCGGCTGCTCACCTTGTCCTTGCCGCGCCCTTGCTCCCGGAGGTTGAGGGCGATGCGGTGCGCCTGCTCCTTGGTGCTGAGCAGGTTGATGTTGAACGCAATGAGGAACTTGCGTGCCCCCGTGACAGTGGCCCCCCAGCTGGGGACGAAGGAGCTGGGACCGAAGTCAGGCACCCACTCGGCCTGCTTGAGCTGCTGGAAGACTCCGCTTAGGCTGCTGTGTCCCTCACGGGAGGGGTGCCCCGCCAGGGTGGGGAAGGGAAGGAGGAGGGCACCCACCCCTGCCCACCCTGGCGAGGAGACACGCACCTTCTCAGGGAGGGCCTCGTACTCCCCAGCCCGGATGGCCGGCAGGCTCCGGCGACCGGCTGTCTGCGCCGCCTCCCCATAGAGGTACACTGCGAGGGAGGCGGCCAGTGAGGCTCCCAGTGGGGGGCAGCCTAGAACCCCCACTCCCGGAGGAGAAGTGAGGAGGGCCGCCTGGGGGAGCAACCTCCCTTGTTCCCATCTCTCTGGGTCTCACAGGGCGGGTGTGGGTGCTCACTGACGGACACTCAGTTTGGGCCAGCCCCCACCCCTACGGCTCCCCCCTACACAGATGTCCCCGGAAAAAGCCATCACAGAGATTCTAAGAGAAGTATATGTGCGGGATGGATGTTCACGTTTCTTTCTAAAATGTATTTTCAACGTACAATAAATATGACAGCAAAGTAAGAAGCACAAGGAGAAGAAAACAAAACTCACCACAAACTCCCAACATCACAGGACAACCATGACAGCATGGAGCCCTCCGGCCTACACCCACCGCGGGGTCGGATTCTGGGCCCTGCGCTCTGTGCCCAACTGTACGCTGGATGTGGTCTGCAGACCCGCGCGGGGCCTGCACTGTTTCCGACTTGTCTATGCTGGTCCCGGGTTAACTTCTTGTTTTGCTTTGTTTTTCTCTAGAGTTCTATTTCTATTCTTGTATTCAAAATAAACAACTGTATCCATTACCTCCTGTGTTTTACTTCAGTGTGCTATACTTGGATGTAGATATACTTGGAAGAAGATATACTTGGAAGAGTCAGAGTACATCAAAGCGACTACAGGAGTTTTGAAAATTACAATTAATGTTTCAGAAGGAATCCACCCAGGCTTGAATGTGCTTTATCTTTCCATTAAAAGCCAGGGTTTCTGGGTGGCTCAGTCAGTTGAGCATCTGACTTCGGCTCAGGTCATGATCTCACTGTTTGTGAGTCTGAGCCCTGCATCAGGCTGTGGGCTGACAGCGTGGAGTCTGCTTGGGATGCTCTCTCCCTCTCTCTCTGCCCCTCCCCTGCTTGCTCTCTCTCTCTCTCTCAAAATAAATACATAAATAAACTTTTTTTAAAAAGATGGAAAGAAAGCCATCCTAACCATGCTTCACATTTTTTTAATGTTTATTTATTTTTGAGAAAGAGAAACAGAGAGACAGCATAAAGAGGGGAGGGGCAAAGAGAGAGAGAGGGAGACACAGAATCTGAAGCAGCTCCAGGCTCCAAGCTGTCACCACAGAGCCCGACACGGAGCTCGAACTCATGAGCCGTGAGATCATGACCTGAGCTGACGCTGGACGCTCAACCAGTTGAGCCACCCAGACACCCCAGCCATGCTTCACATTTAATCAGATTCTTCTGCATTAATCCATAAAAGCTTTGGAACAAGTGGGTCTTGATGAGAGATAGTTCATGTTAGAAAAAGTTAGAAGAAGAGCTAACTTTCGAGTTTCTATGTTCAGAATGTCTGAGGAAGCATTTTCAACTATTACAAAAGTTTATTTAACAAAAAAGTTCAAGGTGAAAATGCAACAGCTGATTTTTACATTGTAATAAAACAGGTGCTGTGGAGAGAGGGCCTTCCCATGAGCACACCCATTGCTTATGCTCGTTCTAAGGCTTCTAACATGATACTATTTCCTGGAATTACCGCCATTCCACTCGCGTTCTGTTGCCCACGAGTTGCCATCTCCGCACATTCATCTATCACAAGACTCATAAAGGGATCAAACCCCTGTAATATTCCTTGCACTGGTCTGCCACCGTTTAATTTCAATAATTTCTTGTCCATAAATGTTTTCAGCTCGGGAGGGGGAGCTTTGCTCACGGTGTCTACTTGGTGAGCTCAGAGATGCCACTCAAAGACTTGGCTGAATTCCCCGAAGTGAGATCATTCTATTAGCAAGCATGGACTGGACTTCACAGTCAGCTGAGCAGCGTCCGCTGCCGGGCAGCACGTGAGGGCCACTGCCTCCCTGCCCTGGGCGCACTTGGTCATGGCTTCTATTCGTGTTTATCTCATTATGGAAGAAGCAGGACATTTCCCTGCAGGTCAGTTTGCAGTAGATTTTTTTGTATTAATCTGCATTTTTAAGGAGCCGAGAGCAGAGGACCATGAGGGTACTGAAGTGCAGTGAGGGACAGGCTGTGGGTCAGCCCCAGACACGGGGGTGCCCCTCCTCGGCACTCACCCGGCACACCCAGCTCCTCAGCCAGCCGCTGGCCAAAGGCCTGGGCGCAGAGCACACACTCATCCATGGTGACGCCCCTCACCGGGATGAAGGGGCACACGTCCAGGGCGCCCATCCGAGGGTGCTCCCCTGCAGAGAGACAGGGGCTGAGGAAGGGGAGGCCGGGGGAGAGCGGCTCATGGACCCCCCTTCTGCCCCCAACCTGCCCTCCATCCACACACCCAGCTGGTCACACTCACCCACAGGGAAGGAGCATCTTTGTGCGAACCCCTCCCTGTCCTAAAAGCCACAAAGATCACTGCCCAGGTCGCCATGCTGAGCACTGGGACCCCTGGCCACCCAGCCCTCCCTCCCCGGGCAGCTCACAGTCCTTCTCAAAACCGGAACCCCACTGTGGGTCAGACAAGCTGCGGTCGGCAGCCCCCCAAGATGATGAGCCCTCCTCACCCGCCACGTTCCCCTGCCCCCCAGGGAGCTTCTGGCTTTGAGATAAGCTTCCTAACTTTACCAGGTGGGCTCGCCCGTGGATTCCCTTCTAGTGGGCCTCACCTCCCCCCGCTGTGAGGGGCCGGAGACCCCGCCCTTTTGACCTGCTCCCTGTGTCCACCAACCTTTGACCCTGCCTGCCACAGTAAACGTGTTTGGTTCTGCGGGTTGTTGACAGGCTGGTTTCCGAGCCTTTGCCTCCTTGCCCCTGGGCCACCCCCCGCCCCCGCCCGCGGCCCCTAGGCCTGCAGAGAATGCCACAGCCTCACCGCCAGTCACACGCAGGGAACCCCTGAAACACGGACCTTTGCCCGGCACGGCGCATTCTGTGGGCTGCACCTGAGACCCCTCGGGGGCTCCGGGGTCCCCCAAGGGCAAGCTCACAGGCCGGTGAGCTCCTTCGCCCCGAGCCAAGCCTGCGGGTGAGGAGACAGCCTGGCGCCCCGGCCCCTCACCTTTGTGCTGGCTCATGTCGATGAGCCGGAAGGCAGCCCGCGCAGCGTTCAGGGCCCCCTCCACCACGTCCTCGGGCCGCCCTACGAAGGTGTAGACGGTGCGGTTGGTGGAGGGGCCCGCGTCCACGTCCAGCAGTACACAGCCCGGGGTCTGCGCCACGGCTCGGGAGATGGCGTCAATCACCTGGGGATGTGGGCCCGACGCTGTGCCTCAGTTCCCCACGTGGAAGCACGACTCTCCTGCCGCCCCAGCCACCACCCAAACATGGGCCTAAGCAGCTGGTGCTGAGCACTGGGGAATTCCTCAGGGAGTACAAGCCCAGAGAGGCCACCACTGAGCTATGGTCGCCAAGAAGGGGGCAACGGGCAGCCCCCTACAGGAGAAACCGAGGCAGGAATCAGAGCCCGGATGGACGGCCTGCTGGGGCTCCCAGAAGGTAACCTATAGGCCAAGGTCACAGAGGTCAGGACCTACCCCCACAAGCAGCTCCTAGGGGGAGCATCTGCACTAGGAGAGAGCCATGAATGGCCCAGAGCTTTCTGAGGCAGCAGGACAGCCCAGTGGTTGGGGCTCAGGGCCTAAATTGGCTTTGTGGCCCTCAGTGGCCTGCACCAACTCTCTGTGCCTCAGTTTCCTCAGAGATGACATGGGGATAATGGCAGAGCCCACCTGATAAGGTTTGGGAACCTTCCAACAGCCCTGTGACCCAGATCCAGGGCCAGGACCCCTGCCTGCCCGCCCATCCCACAGTCTCTTCCTCGCCCGTCGGCCACTTCTCAGTCCCAGCGCTCCTGGGGCACATCCCTGCGGGCTGACGGGAAGTGGTTGCATTTCAGGAACCAAGCACCCCCCTTTCTCCCTGCCCTGGGCCACATGCTTAGCCCCCCAGCACCTCACCTCCTGGTTGTTCCCCTCGGAGAAGTTGGGAACACATTCCACCAGCTGAGACATGGTCTGGGCCTCGATCCCGATGCTCCGCTCAGGGCAGACCGAGGGAGGGACGGACGGTGCTCTCCAGCGCCTGGCGGGGCCTTTATCTGCCCAGCGGGGCCCTCCCATGGCGGCCGGGCTGCTTATTAACCACGGGCTGTGGTCCCTGTGCAAACGCAGAGTGGCCCAGGGTGGGGGAGGGGGGAGCAGGACCCCTGGGAGCAGACAGTGGAGGAGGAGGGATCCCCAAACCCAGCCAAGAGCAGCAGATGTGACCAGGATCTCCCGGGGGGATAGGTCCTGTCCAGGCAGTGGACTCGGTCAGCTCAGGCTCTGGTCCCACGTTGTCCCAGGGCTCCTGAGGCTGTCCGTGTGGCCCTCGGTGTGACTCTCCGTGTGGCCCTCGGTGTGACTCTCCGTGTGACCCTCAGTGTGACCTTCCGTGTGACCCTCCACGTGACCCTCCCTGTGACCCTCCACGTGACCCTCCAGGTGACCCTCCACGTGACCCTCCAGGTGACCCTTCATGCGACCCTCCAGGTGACCCTCCAGGTGACCTACTGAGCCTCCATTTCTTCATGGCAACTCCTGAGCCTCAGGCGGCAAGCAGATGAGAGACCGTGTGTGAGACCCCACTAGGGCCGAGGCTCTTGCGCGGCCGGCTCAGCCTGGTCAGGCAGGCGGGGGGTGGGGAGAGGGCGATCGTGTGCACGTGTGCAGATGCCCTCGGGGGGCAAGCGGTCACATGAAGCCCCAGCTCTCCCAGCTGCTGGCTGCGGCTCCCCGAGGCCAGAGGCCCCACACAAAGAGGTGAGGTGCCCAGGCCAGCAGCCCAGGGCCCGGCGCCCAGGGGCCCAGCTGGCGTCGATGCCGTCTTAAGTGGGGTGAGCATTTCCTGTCTGCAAAAGCCACCGCTGCTGTGGCCACCCCGCCAGCGCACAGACACCTCAAGCCTGAGGTCCGACTCTGTCCCACCTCTCGAGTCACTCAGGACCCGCCGAAGGCAGACCATACCCCATCTGCCTTCCTCCCGGGCACAGGCACCCACACCCCCACGGCCACGGCAGGGCAGGGCGGCCACAGGGCCCAGGGGAGGAGACACCCGATCCCCTCCAGCATCAGCCCTGGAGCAGCCAGACGATCCCAGAGACCCCCGGAGGCGGGGCCGGGCCAGGTCGCCTCCAGCCCTGCTCCCCCGGTGGACGCGGGTGTCGGCTGCTTGGCTCCCGGGTCCTGCACGGGCACGGCCACAGGGGAGCCCCAGCAGCAACACCCCTACAAACCCAGCTCCTAAGGCCGAGGCCCACCCACAGGGCGCCTGCGCCCCACGATGCCCAGAAGTGCCCACCCGTCCCTCCTCCAACAGGGGAGGGGACCCTGCAGAGACCCGGACGTCAGAGAGCCCCTCAGCGGGGTCGGCTCTCGAGGCTGGAAGGAGAGGATGGCGTCAGTTGTGACTGAATCCTGCCCACCCCCAAAATCATCTGTAGAAGCCCGACCCCCCAGCACCTCAGAATGCAGCTATACTTGGAGACAGGATCTTGGAAAAGGTAATTAAAGTTAAAATTATGTCTGTCATAGGGTGACCCGAACCCACTCTGACTTGTGTTCTCCTGGGAAGAGGAAATCAGGACACAGACAGGCAAAGGGACAGCACGTGAGGACACAGGGAGAATGCTGCCCCCACGTGCCCAAGAGGGGCCCCAGGAGGGCCCAGCCCCGCCACCACCTGGAGCTCGGCGTCCAGCCTCCAGCATGAGGGGGTCATAGATGCGTGCTGTCCAAACCCCCTGGTCCGTGGCGCTGGTTACAGCTGCCTGCGCTGACTGCAGAGCGCCCTAAGGTGCTGGGACACCGGAGGCTGTGAGAACCGAGGGACGGGTTGCCCCGGCTGGATTTGACCCAGAAACCCCAATATTTCATCCTCACACCCACAGCAGAGAAGTGACCAGAGACCCTCTACTCACAGCTAAGGCCCAGGAAGGTGCCAGTGCCAGGCCCTGGTCCTGACTGTGGGCCCAGAAGGTCACCTGTCCTCAGGACCTCAGGAGAGACAGGGAGCCCAGGGCTCCAGCAGGGGGTGGGGTACATCCAATCACCCCAAATAAACAGACGCCTGGGAATCCACACAGCTGCACGGGCCCTTATTCTCCATCCAACACGCTGCCGTCACCTTGAAATTCCTACTTTTTAAAAAATCTTTTTAATGTTTTATTTATTTATTTCTGAGAGAAAGAGAGAGACAGTGTGAGTGGGGGAGGGTCAGAGAGAGAGGGAGACACAGAATCTGAAGCAGCTCCAGGCTCTGAGCTGTCAGCACAGAGCCTGATACGGGGCTCAAACCCTCACACCGTGAGATCATGACCTGAGCCGAAGTCGGACGCTTAACCGACTGAGCCTCCCAGGCGCCCCTGAAATTCCTTTTGAACAAGGGACTTGTGCTTTCATTTTGCACAGAGTTCTGCAGATTCAATAGCTGTACCCCCAGCATCCAGATCCTTGCCTCAGGCTCTGCGTTTGGGGAAACTAGCCACTGGCCCTTTGGGGGGGGGGGCACGGAGACACCTCAAAGGATGATAACGGGGTAATGGGGAAGGCCCTGAGGGCCGGAGGGTCTGGGAGCCCAGCCACAGCCACAGCCCCCTGCCCTCCAGGCTCTGTCCAGGCTTCCTTCCACAAATACTCCTGCGGTGCTCTCCACGCCTTCAAAGAGCCAAAGGTAAAGGTACACAGGTAAACAGATGATTTTAATAAAGTGCCACAGTGCCGCGGGTGTGGGTGACGGGCGGGCAGGGCGCCGGGGCTCGCGGCCTGGTGGGAGGGAGGCGCCTGCGGCCCCGGGCGTTCCGTCGGTGGACACGGCCCCTGCCCCGGGCCGGAGGGGACGCGCAGGAGGCACGCGGCCCCCGGGGTCGGAACACACACGTTTGTTGCAGCAAAGGCGCGGCGGCGCGCTTGGCTCACCAGGCGAAGAGCGGCTTGCGGTCCTCCTTGGAGAGCTCGCACAGGCAGGTGAGCAGCAGCAGCGAGTCGCCCAGGAACTTGGGCGGCACCACGTCGATGACCAGCTTGCGCAGCGCGGCGGGGCTGCTGTGCAGCGGGTTGGCGCGCAGGTCGGGCCGCTGCTTCAGGATGCCGTAGGTGTTGATGAGGAACTCGCTGAACACCGGGTGCACGTCGCGGTTGTAGCCCAGCCTCTCCAGGCGCGCGGTCAGCGTCAGGTAGCGGTGCGTCAGGTCGCGAAGCTTCTTCTCATCCACCGAGCCGTCCAGGGACTTGATGGACGTCTGGGNGGTGCACGTCGCGGTTGTAGCCCAGCCTCTCCAGGCGCGCGGTCAGCGTCAGGTAGCGGTGCGTCAGGTCGCGAAGCTTCTTCTCATCCACCGAGCCGTCCAGGGACTTGATGGACGGCACGGCGGGGGGGTGGGTGGGGGCGGGGGGCCCAAGACCCAAGGCCAAGGTGGGAACAGCGGTCACATTTCCGTGAAGGAAGCTGCCCAGAGGGGCACCCAGGTCCAGAGCCAAAGGACCCGGCGGCGTCTCCCAAGTTCCCAGCAGCGGAGGGGAGCAGGGAGGGGTCTCCACCCCTAGCACAGAGGAGGGGATGGGCAGTGCTCTGTGGCCCGGTGAGCCACTCCTGAGACTGTGCCAGGCCACAGGGCCGCTGGGTGAGAGCAACTCAGGAAGCCGGGCACCCGTGGGCCTCAGACACTCCTCAGCCCTGCCCAGGCCTACAGCTGTGTGGGTGCCACGTGATGGGGCAGCAAGGGGGGCCTGGGGAGGGTGGGGGGGACCTCCAGGCAGTGGGAGGACCCAGGGCTGGGAGGGCGCCCTGCAGTGGAAAGGGAACTGGGGCAGGGAGGGGACCCTGGGGCGGAGAGGCACACCTGCTTGATCTTCTCAGGGATGTTGGACACGGTGAAGCCGTACAGCCTGGTCACCCCCGGGAAGACAAAGGCCAGGATGCGCCGGTCCAGCTGAAAGGCGATCTCCCCGACGATGCGCCCGTCCTTCTCGGCGCTGGAGAAGCTCTGGATCTCTGTGAGGAGTGGGGGCCGTGAGCCAGGCTGGGGGGCCCGGGACACGGACTGTCGGGCGCCGCCTGCCTTCCTCCTGCCCGGGCCCCAGGACCTACTTTGGGTAAAGGACCGACCTAAATGCAGCCGCTGCATGTTTGGGCTCCCAAAGGGCCCCAAGCACGATGGAGGTGCGGGGCCTCCCCAGTGCTGCCTCCCCTCCCCGCACTGTGAGGGCAAATACAAATGCAAAAGAAAAGTTAGACTTTTCTGTCACGAAACAGGAAAGAGACTCTCCCTGTAGAGCAATCTGAGAAAACTGTGATCCTAAGTCATCTCTGTCCCTTTGAGGTGGACAGAAATGTCTGTAAAAGCTTGTTTTACAGCCCAGGCCTGTGTCTTGTCCCCACCCCACGCCCACCGGGGGATTCTGCCCAGGCTCCTGGGTCAGGGTGAGCCTTGCCCACCAGAGGGCCCGCCCCTCTGACCAGGCGCGTCAGGATAGGCCAGGCGTGTCCCCTCACCTCCCATGGGCGGGCTGTGGGGTGACTCACAACACATGTGAAACCCACGTGACTCGACAACACGAATATGACCCGTGTGACTCGACAACACGAATATGACCCGTGTGACTCGACAACACGCGTGTGACCCCTGTGAGGGTCCCATCCGCCTGGCTGTCTTGGCCGCCGCTGCATTGCGGGCTGGCTCACTGTTCACTTGGCAATAAAACTTCCCGAGGACTGTGGAGAGGTGCAGGGTGGGCAGGAGGTCCTGTTTTTAACTGCCTTCCCGATGGTGCCGGGCACAGACCACCCTGCCGTCCACCCGCTTCCACTCTGTCCCCTCCAGCAGCTCTGTCCCCTGAACAGCACGCGTGCGTCTCCCCATTCAGAGCCCCCTGCCAGCCACTACCGTCCGACGCGTCTGACACTGAGAGACCCAGTGAGGCGGCCTGCGTCAGAGTCAGGCTGGGCCTCCGCGCCGGGGACCCTCCGCCTGCCGGGGGGCCCAGACCCCCGCCCCTTCCACACTCTTGCTCTTCCACCCCTGCGACACGCGATAGCAGAGCCATCTGCAGAGCCCCGTGGCTTTTCCGAACCCGACCGCGACGCGCACCCCCAGGGGGTGGACCGGGAGCGGCCGCGGGGTCCGGCCAGCAGGGGGCAGTGCGCGCGGGCTCGGCCTGTTTCCCGCCACACCTGCGCGCTCCAGAGGACGGGGCCCGACGCTCAGGACACCGCGCCCCAGGGACCCGCCCGGCTCCGGCTCGCTCCCGCCACGGGGGGGGGGGGGCCGGCGGGGGCCGGCCGGGCTGGGCCTCCGCCCCTCAGCAGGTGAGCGGGAGGCGGGTCCTGGCGAGACGCGCGCTCCCGGGAGCACCGCGTGCGGGGGGGGGCTCGGAGCCCTCGGGGCGTCTCTCCTCAGGAGCACTTTCGGGTCCCGGTGGGACCTCGTTCATCGTCACCGTGACCCCGAGGGGGCCAGACCCCACTTACAGACAAAGGAACTGAGCTTGTGGGGCGCAGTGCTTCCCCAGCCACTTAAACATGTTTTTTATTGAGATACAATTCACATCCTATAAAATGGACTCTCTTCAAAGTACACAGTTCAGACGCTTTTCTACATTCACAGAGTCGTCCAGCCGTCACCACAGTCAACCGCCAAAGCGAAACCCTGCACCCACCTCAGTCCCACAGCGCTCCGCCCACAGCCGCACAACCACCCCTCGGTTTCCTGCCCGCGCGGATTTGTCTGTCCCGGACATTCCGGGGACCCCGTCGGGTTTCCCGCGGCCCAGCAGGGGGCAGCACTGCGCGCCTGTCTGCGGCCGCATAATCGCCCACCGTGCGGACCATCACATTCGGATTATCTCTTCGTCCACTGAGAGGCGGGCGGGCTATGGTGAACAATGCTGCGATGAACATTCATGTAAAAATGTTTCCGTGGGGGGCCTGGGGGGCTCCGTCAGCTAAGCGTCTGGCTTCAGCTCAGGTCATCGCTCGTGAGTTCGAGCCCCGCGTGGGACCCTGCCGTCATCGCGGAGCCCCTTCGGTTCCTGTCTCCCTCTCTGCCCCTCCCCAGTTGTGCTTTCTCTCTGCCTCAAAAATAAATAAAAACATCAAAACAACTTTTTAAGTTTTGTGTAAACAAATGTTTTCAGTTCTTTTAGATATATACCTAGGAGTGGAATCACTGGTAATTCTATGTTTAATTTTTGATGAAACGCCAAACTGCTTTCCGCAGCCACAACGTCCGTGGGTCCCGGTATCCCCACGTCCTCTCCAACATTTGTGCTGGTCCCTCGTTTTGATTATAGTCGTCCTAGTGGGTGTGAAGCGGTTTCTCATTGCGGCTTCATAGGTATTTGGCTGATGACTGATGATTTGGAGCGTCTTTTCATGTGCTTACTTGTCATTTGTATGTCTTTGGGGAAATGTTCATTCGAGTGCTTTGCCCCTTTTTAATCGGATTGCTTGTTTATTTACTGTGGAGTTGTGGAGAGTTCTTATATATCTTGGATACTAGTCCCTTACCTGCTGATTGACAAATATTTTCTCCCACTCTGTGGGCTCAGTTCACTTTCTTGAAATGTGTTCCTCTGAAGTACAAAAGTTTTGGGGTGCCTGGGTGGCTCAGTTGGTTGAGCATTCAAACTCGGCGCAGGTCATGATCTCACGGTTAGTGAGTTCCAGCCCCGCATCAGGCTCTGTGCTCACAGTGCAGAGCCCACTTCGGATCTTCTGCGCCCCCTCCCTCTGCTCCTCTCCTGCTGGCTCTCTCCCCTGTTCATGGACTGTCACTCTTCCTAAAATAAAAAAATAAGTAAATACAAAAAAATTTACTTTTGATACAACCCAGTGTATATACTTTTCCTTTTGTTGCTCATGCTTTTGATGTCACATCTAAAAATCTATTGCCAAATCCAAGGTCATAAGATTTATCTCGGTGTTTTCTTCTAAGAGTTATATGGCTTTAGCTCTTTTAGATTTTTTTTAAGTCTTTGAAACATTTAGGGTTAATTTTCACATGTGGTGTGATGTCCAACTCACTCTCGTGCATGTGTTTGTCCACTTGTCCCAACATCATCTGTTGCAAAGACTGTTCTCTCTCCACTGAACTGTCTTGGTGTCCTGGCTGCACATGAAGCCTGCAAGTGCCTGGGTTTATTTCTGGAATCTCAGTTCTGCTTAGTTGATGTCTGTATGTTTGTCTTCTATGACCGCCACAGCCTGGATTCCTGTAGGTTTACAGTAAATTTTGGAACTGCTAAGTGTGAGTCTTCCAACTTTGCTCTCCTTCCTCAAGATTGTTTTGCCTGTTCTGGCTCCCTTACATTTCCACCTGAATTTCAGGAGCAATTTCTACAGGGAAGCCAGCTGGGATTATGATGGGAATTGAGTGGAATCTACAGGTCAACTTGGGGAGTGCTGCCACCTTAACGATGTGAAGCCTTCCGGTCCATGAACATGAGATGTTTTCCACTTATTCTGGTCTTCTTTACTTTATTGCAGCAGCACGCTGTAGTCTTCAGTGTGCTCCTTCCCCAAGCCCTTTGCGAGGCTGCAGAAGTACCCAGGAGTTCAAGCTGAAAATCAGATTGACCGCACAGCAGCTTGCCAGTGCAGATGAGGGCCATGGGAGCTCAGGGTGCGAACTTCCTCTTCTATATTAATACACTTCTCTCAGCAGGAATCAGTCCCTCTTCCCACCCGTCTCTGTCTTTAAAGCATAAATTAGATGGAAGAAGTGATATACACCTGAGATGTTCTAGAAATTATTTCTAGTCCAACCTTGGCCTTCCAAGATTCAGCCAAAATCTATTCTTCAAAGAAAAAAAGTCAATAATATTGATAAACATGTAACCAGACTTTTTAAGGGAAATGAGAAGATGGACATTACCACTATCAGAAATTAGAGATGGTCTCACCGCAGATACTACAGATGTTAAAAGGATAATAATGGAATATTAGAAACAATTTTATACTAATAAATTTGACAGCATAGGTGAAATGGACCAATTTGTTAAAAAACACAAAAGCTCACTATTGTGAGTGACCTGCCAAAGCTCTCTTAAGAAGAAATAGATCATTTTAGTAGCTGTATATCAGCTAAGGAAACTGAACTTGTAGCAGGGGAAATATTCCTACAAAGAAAATTAAAGCCTTGGGTGGTTTCAGTGGTGAATTTCACCAAACATCTAAGGAATAAATGATACCAATTCTACATAAACTCCTCTAGATTATTAAAGAGAATGGAGCATTTTCTACCTCATTCATTGAAATCAACATTAACCTGGTACCAGAGCCAGAAAATGACATGAAGAGAAAACTATAGACCAATATCCTTCATAGACAGCAAAAATTCTCTACAAAAATTTAGGAAATTAAATCCAACAATACAAAAAAGTATAATCCATCATGACCAAGGGAGGTTTATCTCAGGAATGCAAGATTGGTTTACAATTCATAAATCAATCAATGTAATTAACCATATTAGCAGAAACAGACTACAAATAAAAACCAAATGCTCATCTCAATAGATGCAGAAAAAGCACTTCACAAGATCCAACATCCATTCGTTATAACTATAAGGAAACTAGGAATTAAGGGGAAATTCCTAAACCTGATAAAAGTCATCTACAAAGACCTGAACTAACATCATACTTAACAATAACAAACAGAATGTTTTCCTCCTAAATTAGGAAAAGATTAAAAAAATAAAAAGGTCCACTGCCACCATTTCTTGCCAATGCAATACGACAAGAAATATAAAAGGAATAGAAACTAGAAATGAAAAAATAAACTTGTCTTTATTTGCAAATGACACAATCATATATCCTAAGGAATCTACAAAAATCTACTAGAACAGGGGCACCTGGGTGGCTCAGTCAGTCAGCATCCAACTTTGGCTCAGGGCATGATCTGCTGGCTCTTGAGTTCAGGTTTTGCATTAAGCTCCACACTGGCAGTGTGGAGTCTGCTTGAGATTCTCTCTCTCTCCTTCTCTCTCTCTGCCCCTCCCCAATTTGCAAGCATGCTCTCTCTCTCTCTCTCTCTCTCTCTCTCAATAAATAAATAAACTTAAATAAATCTACTAGAACAAATAAGTGAGTTCAGAGGGTGTCTGGATGGCTCATTCAATTAAGCCTCTGACTTTGGCTCCGGTCATGATCTCATGTTTCATGAGGTCATGCACTGAACCAGGCTCTGCACTGACAGTGCAGATTCTTTGTTTCCCTCTCTCTACCCCCCACCCCCCAACGCTCTACCTCAAAAATAATAAAAATATTTTTAGAAATAAGTGAGTTCAGTAAATTTGTAAGATACAACATTTTTATTTGTCAGGGTTCTCCTGAGAAATAGAAACAGAACCAATAGTGTGCGTGCGTGTGTGTGTGTGTGTGTGTGTGTGTGTGTGTGTGTGTGTAGGAAATTGGCCCTCATGATTATGGAGACTAACAAGTCTCAAGATCTACAAGGTGAGTCAGCAAGCTGGATACACAGGGAGACTGAAAATGTTGTTCTAGCCTGACTTTGAGGGTCTGAGAGCCAATGGTGTGGTTTCAGTCCAGAGTACTGCAGGCTTGAAACTCAAGAAGAACTGATGCTTCAGTTCGAGTCCAAAGGCAATCAGGTAGGAGGAATTCTCTCTTCCTTTTTGTCCTATTCAAGCCTTGGATTGACTGGATGAGGCCCACCCACACTGAGAGGGCAATGTGCTTACTCAGTATATTGACTTAGATGTTCCCCTCATCCAAAAACACTCTCACAAAAGCAACCAGAATGTTGGACCAAATATCTGGGTACTTCATTTCATGGCCCAGCCAAGTTAACAAAAAAATTAGGGATCACAGGAGTAAACACACAAAAGTCAACTGTGTTACTATATACTAGAAGTGAGCAATCAGAAATTGATAATGATAAAGGCAATACTATTTCCGATAGTATCAAAAATGTGAAAATACTTAGGGTTAATTTATCAGAAATGTGCAAGATCTATACATATAAGACTATAAGACTATAAACATTGTTGAGAGAAATGTTTAAAGAGCTACATAATATTGGTAAGGTTCAATATTATTATTATTAATAAATTGTTAATTTCCCTGAAAATTGACCTAATCAATCTGTAGATCCAGAGCAATCCCAATCAAATTCCTAGCAAGCTTTTTTGTAAAATTGAACAAGTTGATTCTAAAACTCATGTGGAAATGCAAAGGACCTACAATGGCCAGAACGACTTTGAAAATGGAGAACAGACACTATCTGAATGACAGTCTTACTTTAAAGCTACAATAATCAAGACCATGTGTACTAGAATCAACACAGACAGATAAGTAAAACAGCATGGCAGTGGTGGGGGTGGGGGGCAGGTCCAGAGATAAACTTATACATATATGAATAGTTGGTTTTTGACAAAAGGGTCAAGGCAATTCAATGGAGACAAAATTTTCTTTCTCAACACTGGTGTTGGAACAAGCAGTCTTCTAATGCAAGCCTCATACCGTTCACAAAAATTGACGTGAAACTGATCAGAAACCTAAATGTAAAACCTAAAGCCATAAAACTTCTAGAAGAACACATAGGAAAGAATCTTTGTGACCTTGAGTTTGACAAAGATTTATTAAATAGGACACAAAAAGCATGAACTATATAAAACAACAACAAAAAAATCATTAAACTGGACTTGATCACATTCAACAGTTTTGCTTTTTAAGAACACTTATGCAAATGGAAAAGCCATGGAGTGGGAGACATTTCCAAACCACACACCCAGAAAAGGGCTTGTGTCCAGAATATAGGTAAGATTCTGACAACTTGATCACAAGAAGATAAGCAAGTCCATCTTTTTAAGAGGCAAAATACCCACAGGAGCAGCCCAGGGCCCTGGCCTCCCAGCCACACTCTCCTTCCTCTGCAGGGAAATGGAGACGCTGTGCCCAGCTGGCTACCGCGACCACCCTCCACGACTGCCCGCCGCCGCGCCCGGTGCCCCTGGCTGGGCCGTACCGCTCAGGTAGTAGCTCCTCCTGGCCCTGTCCCCAGACGGCAGGCTGCTCTCTGAGATGCACACCTTCTTGGGCCGGACCAGCTCCCTGGGCTCCAGCAGGGTCTTGTCCGCCAGCGGGTCCTGCAAGGGGTTCAGGAGTGGGCACAGCTTCCTGTCAGTGCCTCGGGGCGCACGGAGCTCGGGGGGGCTGAGGAAAGCCTTGAAGGGCACCTGGGAAGAGGTGGCACAGCCAGGGGAGGCGTCGTCCTCACTGCAGATGGGGGCGTGCGAGCACAGCAGGTCCTCCAGGGAGGACGTCTGCAGCTGGGAGGGTGCGTCAGGGACGCTGGTGAACCTTCCAAAGTCTGCACCTGGGATGGAGAGGGAGGGCGAGTCAGGCTGTGTCCCCAGGACGTCCCTAAGCAGGGGGAGCACACGGAAGAACACCGTATGCCCAGCCTCAAGCTGTGACGCCCACCGTGCTTCAGAGTCCTCCTCCTCCCTCTAGAGAACATGACACTGTGGGTGCCCACCCCACACAAGGAAGCCACCAGCCTCAAGTTTAAGGGCATGGCAAGCACACATGCCTCTGTGTGCTTCCCATCCACCTGTGCGTCTACACACAATACAAGAGGGACTTGCTTACGCTTGTAAATGTACACAAACAGTATCATCCTATACAGGTTTTATTCTGCAAAATACCTTTCTGCGGCAGCATTACCTTTTTTGGGAATTCGTCTATATTGAATCATTGGGTAGCTTATCTGATACATTTAGCCGTTTCTTGGAACACGTGTGCATGCAGGCGTGTGCATTCATGTGCGTGCATGTGCACGCGTGCATACACACACAGACACACACACACACACACACACACACACACAGCAATTTTCATATCCACTGCCCTGTTGATAAGCATGGGGATGATTCCTGCTTTCCTTGAAAAAGCAAAGCTGTAAGCAGCATACCTTAATGTGTCTCCTTGTTCATGGTGAGCACCCTCTGCTGTCTACACTGGGCTCAGGTGTGTGCTGTTTAACCTTCTCTGTGCGCTACATCAGTGGGCCCCGGCAGATGACAACACATGGCTTTCCCCTAATCCCTGGTGACACTGAACATCTTTTCATGTGCTCATCGGCCCCTCAGGTTTCCTTTCTGTGAATTATTTTTGCCTTTTCTCTGCTCGTTTTTTTAGGGGGAGGCGTAGTCTTTAAAATTATTTGTAGCAGCTCTTTTTCTCTCTTGCATACTAGTTCCTTACTGATGAAAAGTGTTGTAAATGTCTTATTCCACTGGGTGCCTTGCTTATGTTTGAATCTCTTTTATGCTGACTTCTCTTGCGGAAGTTTTTAAAGTGTAATGTAGTCAACTTTAACTTATTGATTCTTTTTGATTTATAAAGTCCTTTCCTACTCTCATGTTATAAACTTGTTCTCCTGGCAATAAGGTAAATATATACTTGAGAAATAGTGTGTTTTAAGATCTATCATGAAAAATTATATCCTAAAATGTGCCTCCTCAGGAACCAACTAATCAACCTCCAGCAATGCTTTCACAAAAAAACATGTTCAAAAAAAGAAAAGCCATTAGGATGAGTCTTGCCCCCCATCTGCCCACATTGCCTGTAGACAATTCTACTTCCTCAAAAGTAAAAGCATTCTCCCAAGTAATGATCACATCAAGGAAGAAATAAAAATAAGGAACAATGATTATAGAGAAATAATGAAAATCAGAACATTACATATTAAGGCATCAGTACGTTTAAAACTGTATCTGGATTGAAATCAGTAATTTAAATACTTTAATTACTTTTAAAAAATCATCTCAAAATTAAACATTCAAATCAAGATATGACGAGGAGCTCTTAAAAAAACAATGAACACGACCGCAAAATACACTGCAGACAGCTCTGTGAAAGTCCACACGACAGCAAAACTGTGGAAAACTACCTTAGGGAAACAGAAAACATGAAGAAATAAAATTGGAAATGAGAAAAGCAACATAAGAAAGAGCAGGAAGAGGTTGGAGTTATGAGCGACCATTATACACAACTGTGTAGTCACTAAGATTTCAATAACAGGAGAGCTCTTGTGGGAAATTATTTTTAAATGACTCAATAAGAAGCAGAAAATCTAAATGGACCAATAAGCAAAGAAGAAAAATCTAGAAGTTATAAAACAATTATGCTCTGAGGGCCGCAGGCCCTGGGAGCTAGTGGTAAGTTCTTTCAAGCTCCAAATGATTCTTAATCCCTGTATTACAGAAATCAGGTTGGAACACTAAAAAAAATTAAAAGATGCTTCTTGATCAAGGTTATAAACCGGTCACAAGTCTGGTATCAAATCCCCAAACAGAAAACCCACAGAAAGAAGACCAAAGCCCATATCCATGTAGGACAGAGTCCCCAGATCCTGAGCAAAGCCCTGTCCCAGGGGACAGACAGCAGGTGCCCGGGGCCTTCCGATGGAGCAGGCCGAGGGCAGCAGCTGAGGGCACCCTACCAAGGCCAAAGAAGATCATGGAAACTGAACAAAACAGGCTGTTTCTCAATTTTTCTTGTTCTTTAAACAGAAGGACTAGAAGGGTCCTCCCAGCGCCTAGCCTTCGTGCCCCTCCACCCCCTGGTCCAACTGCCGCCAGAGCCAGAGTTCTGGGAGTTCCAAGGGCAAAGACCAAGGCAAATTTAACAGTATACACACTGTCAATCTGCTTTAAATCATTTGCACATGGTGCGGTTTTAAACTCAGAAAACAGACCACATTGACGAACGTAGCACACGGGGCACACAGGCGGCCGAAGAAGGCTGGGGTGTGGGAGCCTGGCCGCTGCGTGTGGTGCTGGGGTCAGGAGGGCGCTGGCCTGGTGCAGAGGCCACAGCAGCGTCTATTTCAACAGCACAGGGCCTTTGACCCACGGATTTCCCGGCCGTTGCCCCTGCGGCAGGTGGTGGGGGGCTGGAGAGCACCACCTAGCCTGGGGCCCGGCTGCTGGTGTGGGGAGCCACCCCCACCCCGAGGGCCGCTCCAGCGCTGGAGTGCAGGCTCTGGGCCTAGAGAAGGGGACCTCTGGGTGACAAGAGTAAGGTGGATGGAGGGGGCGATCAAAGTATAGAACAGCTCAACCCTGTTTAGGAAAACCCAGGAGATCCCCTCATATGCACATGAATATTCACCACAAACTTCAGACAGAAACCCAAGAAAAGGTTGAGAGCAGGGCCAGGAGCTCGGGCTTGGCCTTGTATGTTACATCTTCTTGGGGTATTTGTAAGTTTGCCATGAGCGCCGGTTGTTGAATGAAATAAACAGGGTTTTAAAGCACATCCTGTGTTGAAGGCAGATGCTAAGGGACCATGGGAAACACGAGCCGTTGCTGGTGGCAGCTCCCTGCTGTTCCTAAACGGTGGCTGCTGAGAGTCGTTCTAAACTCCAGTCCCCAAAGAAGGCTGAGGGTTGTAGCCAGGCCTGCAGGCAGCATCCCAGAGCCCCGGGCCCGGGGCGGGTCCCCCTGAGGATGGTCGGCCATGCTGACCTTGGCCCACACCCTGCAGCAAAGCCTTGTGTGGAAGGCTTGGTGGCTCTGGGCAGGCCCGGGGACTGGAGTGCCTGCTGAGATGGTGTCTGGCAAGCTCTGGGATTGCTAGGGGTGACCCACAGGCAGGGGAGCTGGCCGTGCTCCCAGAGACTCCGCCCTGACCTAGGCCCTGACCAGGGTCCCTCTCGGGGCACCCAGCTCCGGTGAGAGTCTGCACCTCTACCGACCACACATGGGAGGGAAGGCGAGTCGGGGGGTGGAGGTGGGGGCCCAAGTGCTCCTGCCAGTGCTGACAAAGGGGTGACTCTGAGCCCTCAGAGGCGGCCCTGGACTGACCCAGTTCTCAGGACAAAGGACAACAAAGTCACTCTGGGTTCGTGACTCTTGGCAGTAATCAGAGCACCAACGAAGCTTGGTGACAAGTGCCTTTTGCAGCCACTGCACAATGACATCCCTGGTGGCCCAAGAAGGCAGCACTGACCCTCTGTGGGATGTCACACAGGTGACAAGTCCTGGGAGGCCAGTGCCTCTTCAGCAAGTTTCTGGGGACAAGCATGTGCCTTGGCTGCTGGTGGGGGTCGGGGTTTCTGCAGCTGCCTCTTTGGGCTTCATTGTCCTCTCTCCACCACCCCCACCCCTGCCCTCTGCTGGTCCCCTCTCCCTCTTCAGGGTGCTCCTTGAGGCCGAAGGACCCCAGGGACATGCTTGCTCCTGGGGCTTTGCATCCCTGAGCTCTGTGCAGGGGGCTGGTGGGTAGCAGCCACCGATGTGGGGGGCTAACCCCCCACCCCATTTTCTAGATGTGGGCTTCATGGCCCAGAGGGCCTTACACAGCAGAATGGGGAACGGGGTCCAGCCCTGAGGGAAGGGAAGGGGCCAGAGGCCACCGGCATCGCTGAGGCAGGCCGGCGGCGGCACGTGGGGGCCTCACCACTGCTCCTGGACCCCTGCTGCCCTGGCCCGTAGCCTCACCTGCGCTCCCGGGGGAGTGGGCCTCAGGGTAGGCAGGTGCCTTGGGGTAGAGCAGGTCCCGGCCCCCGAGGCCACAGCGCTCCTGGCAGCTCTCGCTGAGCAGACGCTTCAGCATCTGGTTCTCCTTCATGAGGCGCACCTGCTTCTTCAGGTCTGCGTTCTCGCTCATGAGCCTGTTCATCAGCTCACTCCCCTCGGCCATGGCCACGTCTTTAGTGCTCACGTGTGGGCCTGCGGCCCCATGGAGGTGGAAGTCCAGAGCCTGCAGACGCTCCAGAAACAGCCCAAGGCCCTGGAGTTCCACCACTGCCTGGCCTTCCGCAGCCTTGTGATGTCGCCCTTAAAGAGCCAGTGCCCGCCCGGCCGGCACCCGTCCCACCCGCGGTACCCGCAGACCTCGCCTGGGCCTGGCCCCACAGAGCAACACCTCCCGCCAAGGGTTCAGTTCCAAGGAGAACAAGGGGAATGGACTGGAGGAGTTAGGATGGGGGAAGGCAGCCAGCCCCAGACAGGAATGTTCCGGCACCTTCTAGCAACAGCCAGAGCACTGGGCTGAGGGGAGCGTCGGGCCATCCACACCTTGTGGCATGTGCAGACCTCAGGGGGCCTCTGCCTTTACTCCGCGAGACTCGTGTTATCTCTCCACACGGTGCTGGTGCAGCTGCCCAGTCTGTGGGGTCAGCGGGCCCCCAGATCCGAGGCTGGTGTCTGGCGTGCAGACACGTATCAGGGTGAGCAGCTGGGACGCACCCTTGCAGAAGGCGCGGTGGGCAGGAGCGGGGAGCTCGGGTGCTCGCAGCAGCCCACAGGCCCGTGGACTCCGGGCGGGCTCTGAGGGGCCGGCAGCTGGAGGCGGCCTGCTGACCACTCTTCCCTGGTAAGAAGGCTTGGACTGTGAGCCCTGAGTGTCCGGAACACTGACTGTTACTGGACCTAACTGAAGACTCCCCCGACTGGACCCAGGCCTGTGCGGACCAATCACACACAGACCTTTGCTCGCGGGGTCCTGCCAGAGTGCAGATTTCCGTCCTCGGTTAGTGAGACCAACACGAAGCCGCCCCAACACCCGCTCTTCCAACTAACTACTCAGAGCGGTAAACGCACTCAGCACCGTTTCCTGGCTCTGAAGTTCTTGGTCGTGCCTCTTGGCAGCGGTTGAGGCAACAGAGGGGTCATCTCCTGACCCTCTTGGGAAGGGATAGAGTCCAAACAAGAAACCAGCATGTCCTCCAACCTTCGGCCCCAACATCCAGGGGTCCCCAGTGCTGCATCAAGGGCACTCGGGGTCCACGCAGAGCAAAGCCATTATTTCCCCCAGACTGCCAAGTTAGCATAAGGTTGCTTCAAGGAGAGAAAGGCTTGAGTCGGGTTTTGTGGAAAAGAGGATTAAAAAAAAAATTTTTTTTAAATGCTTATTTAGTTTTGAGAGAGAGACAGAGCGTGAGTGGGTAAAGGCAGAGACAGAGGGAGACACAGAATCCAAAGCAGGCTCCAGGCTCTGAACTGTCAGCGCAGAGCCTGATGAGCGGCTCGAACTCACAAACTATGAGATCATGACCTGAGCCAAAGTTGGACGCATAATGCAGGCGCCCCGGAAAAGAGGATTCCTAAGTCCCAAATGTACGTACCTTATGCGACCTGAGACACGCCCAGTGTCTGGACCCCAGAGCCTCTCACATCAGACAAGGACAGTGGGGACATGGGTAGCTCCCACTGAGCAAGGGTGAGCAGGGGCTCCCAGGACTGAGGGCAGATGTCTCCCCCAAAACCTGAGAGCAAGACCCTGGGACATGAAAGCCTCCCTCCACACCACGGCACTTAAAATGCCATTAGAAAACCCTCAGAACATGTATCCCCTCCAGCCACAGGACCATCCCCTCTGCCAATTTTCTGATCATGATGCATCATTCTCTTATCACTGGATTCAACTTACTACTAGTCTGTTAAGTATTTGTGTGGGAAATTGATCTGTATCTCCTTTCCAGTAATGTCTCGGTCTGGTAGAGCTATCAAGGTCACACTCTCTAAAAGGAGTCTGCAAAATGTTCCCGCCTTCTCTAATGTCTGGGTATGGGGTATTTGTGTTAGGTTGTTCTTTCTTTCTTAAATGATTGATAAAATTCACCAGGAAGCCATCTGAGACTAGAGCTTTCTTTTGGGAAAGTTTTAAATTTCAAATTAAGTTCTAAAATAGATGCAGAGTGATGTAAATTTCCCCTTCTCAGGAACACCTATGTGACAACTGTGTCTTTCCGGATTTTTCTGTCTGCGTTGTGGAACGCTGGCACTGAGCAGCCGTGACGTTCCCTTATTGTACTCTGCGGTCTCGCGCCTCTGAGGACAGACCGACGCGGCCAAGGCAGAAAACTGAACGTGAACACGGAGCAGCAGCGTTAGCAGGTGTGCAGAAGGACCCAAGGATCAGCAAGCCGGGCAGTGCGAGCAGTGGGACGCAGAGAGGCGGCCGCACAGTGAGCTCGCGTTGACCACGCCAGGTCAGCAGGCCTGGGGGTGACCAGCCTGGACGCTGCCTTGTGTCTGCAGGACTGGTGGCAATGCACCTTTTTAATGCCGGCCGTAGGTGTCCTTTCTTTCTGGATCCGACCAGAGGCTTGCTGTTTCTCAAAGCGTCAACTTCACTGATGCATTGTTGTTTCCTACAACATTTGACTCGTGCTCTTTTATCTGGTATTTCCTTCCTTCTACTTACTCTGGTTTTAAGATTCTTTTTTTTAAATATGGAAACCAATGTGACAATAAACTATATTAAAAAATTTTTTTAATGTTTATTTTTGAGAGAGACAGAGTATGAGTGGGGAGGGACAGAGAGGGAGACACAGAATCCGAAGCAGCTCCAGGCTCTTGTGTTAGCACAGAGCACAACACAGGGCTCAGACCCATGAACTGTGAGATCATGACCTGAGCCGAAGTCAGATGCTTACCCGACTGAGCCACCCAGGTGCCCTGGTTTTAAGATTCTTAAGGTGGACACTTAGATCACAGACTTGAAACCTTATATACAGTGTTAATAGGTAAGCCTGTAACATTTCTGTGACCACTGCTTTAGATACATCCCACAAATTTTGAAGTCATTTTTTTCACTTAGCTTGAAATATTTCATTTCCCTTGTACTTTCATTTTTTGATCATTGGTTATTTAGAAGTATACTGTTTATTTTCAGATATCTGGGATTTTCTTTCTTTTCCCCCACCATCACAAACTATGCAGTCGAGTTTCCTACCTTTGGTGAAATCGCAGGGGTCAGCACATCCAGAATGCAATGGAAAAGCCTCGCCCTGGGAAAACCACCTTCGTGATCATGGTATCTCCCCTGCCAGGTAAGTATTCTTTTTGTCACTGATTTTTAATTTAATTCCACTTTGGTTAGAGAATACACTGTGTGGCCTCAATCCTTTCAAATTTCCTCACCCCACATGTGGTCTTAGAGAATGATGGCCCATAAGCTCTTGAAAAGAATGTTAGATTAAGCGTTCCATAAATGCCCATTCAAGTTGGCTCAAGGTTTTGTCTACAGTTGTGGAGACAACGTTGAAGTCTCCCACTTATCAAATTCCCTCTCCAGCTGCCCATTTTTGTTTTTCATATTCTGAAGCTATGCTATTAGGTGCATACATGTTACTGTTATTAAATGACTCTTTGTTTCTAGGACTGTTCCTTTTCCTGAAGCCTACCTTGATATTAATACAGTACTTTTGCTTATGATTAATGTTTTTTCATATAGTTTTCTAAACCAGTACTTTTATCCTGTATTTTTGCACTTAAAATTTCTCATGGACAATACACGAGTCATGCTTTTTCATTCAGTGTTTCTGCTTTTAACTAGAGTGCTTGGCCCTTCAGTTAGTAAAGTTACGTAAATGGTTGGTGTGGCAGTTTTCTAGGGCTATATAACAAAACAGCAGACTGGGTGGCTTTGACAACAGGAATTTATTTTCTTACAGTCTGAAAGCACGAAGCCTGAGAACCAGGGGTGGGCAGAGCTGTGTCCTCACGTGGTTGTCCCTCTGTGTGTTTGGGTGTGAACTCATCTCTTCTTAGCAGGACACCAGTCCTATCAGATCAGAGCCACCCTGTGATTTCATTTAACCTTAATTACCTTCTGAAAAGTCCCATATCCAAATGTAGGTCCTTTTCTTCCAGATAAATTTTGGAAAACACAATCTAGCCCATAAGAGTTAGGCTTATCACATTTTCTATTGTTCTATCTGTTCTTCCGGTCTCCTTTGGGATTATTTTGCCCCCTTTATTAGTTTTCTAGCCATACCTCCTTTCCTTCCTTAGCAGTTCGCTGACTACAATATGTTCCTCTTACTTCTGACGACCTGTGTTCTGGTAAATACTGTCGCTTGCGGATGCAGCACTTGAGACACGAAGGGAGCCTCTTGGCAGCATCCGCCATTGTCCTCCAGCACACTTTTGTCTGTGTTCACTTTCTTGTTTTTGCCTTTAAAAGTTAATCCTATTTCAAAGAGTTTTTTGTTTGTATGCTTGTTTTTAACAAAGGGGGAAAAGCCTTCTTCATGTAACGTTTCTGGGTCTCATTCTTTGGTGAAGATCACTTTCCACCTGGTATCACTTTCCTTGGGCCCAAACATTTCTTTTGGGCAAGGCTGCTGGAGAATTCCTTCGGCTTTCATTTGTCTAGAAAAGGAAGGTCTATTTTGCCTTCACTTTCGTTTTGTGAATAGAGAATTTTAAGCTGACCAGTTTTTCCCTTTTAATACTTTATAACGATGTCATACAGCACAGCCTTCTGATTTGCATCATTCCTGATGAGAAGACAGCTGTCCTTCCCTTTGCTCACTTGTATATAACGTGTCTGTTTTTGACGGCTTTTAAGCCTTTATTCACCATTGGTTTTCATCAACTCATGATGTGCTCTGGAGTAGGTTTTGGTTTGGGCATGTTTGGTCTGTGTGATTATTCTATGTCTGTCGAGCATGACACATCTACGGGCTTATATATTCCATATCATGATTACTCAGATGTTTTTCTGCCTCCCTCCTACCCCATTCTGTGAGACTCCAATTATACATACGCACGTGGGAGCACGCAAGGTCATCCAACAGGTCACTGGCTTTTTTTTTTTTTTTTTTTTTTTAAGTATTTTGGCCACCACGGGCTGTTTCAGAGCTCAGCTGTTCCTGGATGGCCCAAGAACAGCCCCCACTCCTCTACTCTCCCAAGAACCAGAAAGGGCATCAAAGACATGGGGTCTCCAGTCCACTGCGTCTCACTCCCACAAAAGGCCTGGTTGTGGGGACGGTATCTGAGGCTGCCACAAGCCATGCAAACTAGCTGTTCTCCACTTGTGTCCAGCATGGGTTTCAGACACTCCCTGGGCCATCACTGTCCCTGGGGGAAGGCTGGAAATCACCTACCAGCAGTCATTGTGGAGAAACTAATGGGCGAATTATTTGCACTGAGGAAAACAGGTAACCTTACGTTATCCGTACCATCCTTATCCTCCTGAGTGGTGACAGGGGGTCTCTGAGGCAGAAGCCAAAGCCCCAGATGAAAACGCCAGGCACAAAGTTCACACACCATGGAGGGGCCTGGTGCTCTCCCGAGCAGTACCCTCAGCCTCCTCCCACCGCCACTGGTGTGGGTGCCTACAGTGGCACCCCGCTGCGAGCAGACGCCCTATGGTGAGGCTCACAACCAGTGAGACCAGCTACTGGGGCTGCTGTGTGTACGCTCCAGCCGCCGCCTAGAGAACTGAGGGCAGAAGAGCGACCGCCCCCGCCCCGCCATCCCGCCCCCCCATCCCGCCCCCGCTGGCGCCTTAAGTCCTGTCAACTCCCCTCTGCCTCCTGTTTCTACCCTTAATTCCATTTTCAAACAAAGTGAATTGTGAATAAAAAGTTCTACTGCGGATGGAGACAAAGATAAATCAAGCTAACTAATTAATCTATAATTAGCATATCTGCAGGGATAAGAAAAGAAGAAGCAACAGTGGATAGTATTAATTTTTGTAACATTTTATTGCCCAAATAAAATTTAAATGTATGTAGCAACACTGATTAGGTTCAGTAAAGAAAACTATTAGAGTTGAATTTCCACTGTGAGTTAAGGGTTTATAGTTAGGGAATTCCTCCTCACAGGGAAAGTTTAAAGTTTACACCCGGTGAATACAGAAAACTTAATATGGCTCCAGCAAAAATTTCCAGTAAATACTCAAAGTCTGCTCCCAATAACCAAAAATAATTTGAATTCAAGCATCTTTGTTGATTTGCCCAGGAAAGAGAACCTGATTTAGTCTAAAGTACAGCTGACACGAGTTTGTATTAGTTTCAGGTACAGCAGTGATTCAACCGTACACATGCTCAGCGTCCCCCACAGCAGGTGCGGTCACCACCCAACGTGACTGAGCTGTCACTGGCTATGTGCCTCAGGCCACGCTTTCTATCACCTGACTTACACATTTTGTGACTGGAAGTGTGGACTCTTCTGTTTCACTCACCTCCTATGCTCTCCCTGCTGGCAACCACCAGTTTGTTCTATATTTATGCGTTTGTTTCTGTTCTGTTTTGCCGAGAACTTGATTTTTAATTAGGCTGAAGCACATAATTTCCACTCAAATAATGACATATACCTGCTCATCTTCTAGCAGTTACTCTTATCCCCTGAAAACCCCAGATCTGTGACTGTTCCCAAGTTGAGACAAAACACAAGTGTGACCTGCTTCTAAGGGAATCACATATCTGTTTGTTAAGATAGCTGCCCACAGAAATGAATTTGCAGTATAAAAGTAGATTTTCATTGCTTAGGTTTGACCCAGTGATCTGGCCCCCTGGGAGCCTACCAGGGGCAGCGGTCACTTCAAGGGGCAGAAGCTTGCGCTGCTGCTGTCCCAGCTGGGGGAGAATAGGGGCCAAGAAAAGAAGGGCAAGAGCAAACCCAATAGATTTCAAAGGGATCCCAACAGTCCCTTCAGCCAAAATAAATCCAAGTTAAAAAATGTCTGGGGGAAAGTGCTGACACTCAATAGGTAGTCACTGAACACCCACTACGTGCCACACAGTGTGGCAGCCGGTGGAACCAGTGGGGCCACCTGTGTGTACACACAACCCAGACCCTGGGGAAGAGGAGTCAGCGGAGGAGGTCAGGCAGGCCCCAGGCAGAGTCAGGGACGGCACTCAAGGCCAGCAGAGCTGCAGGGTCAAGGCCACGTGCTGCAGTCTCGGCAAGGGCCCTGCAGGGATCTGGTCAGAGAAGGGCAGGAACGGAGGAGCACTCGGACATCAGGCTGCCTGAGGGAGCACAGTCGGGGCGGCTGCCAGCCCAGGAGGCGGCACAGAAGACCAACAGGCAGAGGGGCACGGGGGCAACACCAGACCCGGCTTTTATTCTCATCAAAGCTCTTGGTGGCTCCACACATCCTCACTCCTAGGGAAGCCCTGAGCACATGAGCCACATGTCTCAAAGGTCAACGGCAAGTCCAGAGCCCGGGTTTTTCCATCCTGGGCCCCAAACCCATGCACACCAAACCAGATTTAGAGATAGAAGGGAATTCAGAGGTTTAGCGCCCAAGAGGCACTGCCCCAGAAATCTGGCCCTCACTTCCGCTCAGAGGACAAGCCAGGACATGAGGGTTAGTGGCAGCCTAGAGGGCACCCTACGGCGCCAGGCTTGTCCAGCCAGCAACGCTGACTGCCCCACAGTGGTGACCACCGAACCACTCGTGAGCGCTCCCTGCTTGCCACACTGAGCCTGCTGCCTGAGCCTGTCATCACGAGACGCTACGGGTTAGAAGCGGGAGAGAGGGATACTGGTGCCCACAACTGGTGACCACGATGCAGCAGGGGCGAACCTGGGGTGGAGGGCACAGCCAGCAGCCACTCCCTCTGCACAGCCCCAGGCACTCAGCAAGTCTGCTCCCAGTTCCTTGCCGAGCCCAGGGCCGCCATGGTGACCAGACCACATCCCTCAGCCCCACAGACAGAAGAAATAGGAAGAGCCGGCTGCGGGGCAGCACCAGCAGGAGGCAGATGAGGCCCCGCGCCCCTCGCCTGAGAACCGAGGTTTTGGTCGAGAAAGCCCTCCCAGCCCCAAAGCGAGGAGGCACGCCCTGGCCAGGGGCTGCGGAACACGCTGGGCGCTGGCGGGGGTCAGGGCTCATCTTGTCCTCTCCTCCCCAGAGCTCCAGAGCTCTTCAAAGAATTAAACCCATCCTGAAAATCAAGTGCCTAAAGCCACCGGCCCCACCCCTGCCCCAGGCCTGGTCGCACCATGTGGAAGGGGGCGGTGAGGGGCACTGGACCCCTGGGCAGGGGGCCCCTGCAGCTCACCCAAGCTGCCCCACCAGGACTCACATGACAGCCACTGCTCAGCAGCCCCCCGGACAACGGTGCCCACCACCCACCTGCCTGCCAGGCACCCTCAAGGGAGGCCAGCAAGGGCACTCTCGGGGTACAGGTGGGAGAAGCGGCCGAGGGCCCAGATGGGGAAGACGTTCTTGTAGCTGTTATAGTTGATGGCACAGGACTTGTTGAAGACACCAGAGATGTTGTCCTGAAAGAACACAGAGACATAAACACAAAGGCTCTAGCAGGTGGCTAAGGGGCTCCCTGAACGGAGACTCCAGCCACAGAGCCGGCAGGCTCCCGGGGTGGGGGTGGGGGGTCCGCGGGAACCTCTGCAGGCCATTCCCCTGCTACCACCTTAGCTCTGGACCTCTCACCCTGCAGGGGACCCTCCGGCCTCAGTCACTAGCCCTTCAGAGCTGTCAACCCTGGACTCATCCAAGGGAGCGGGTCAGCCTCATGTGACCTCGTGACCGCATGCCCACAGGAAAAGGTGAAGGTGTCCTGCATTCCCTGCTGAGGCAGAGCCTGAGGGTATCCAGTGTCCTCCACCCCAGCACCAGCCCTGCCCCAGAGCCCGGGCTTCATTACAGACCTGCCTCCACCACAGGCTCTCACTGGTGGTGTTTGCAAACCTCAAGTCCCCAAAGCTAAGACCCTGCCCATGAGGAGACCATTAGGGATGCAGGGACGGGGTAGGGCTGGAAGACATTCATGCAAATCAAGGTCAGCGCTGGGCCTTGTGCTCCTCAGGCCTCCTTGGCATACCTGGGGCCAGTCGCCGCTGGGGAGCTGTTTTCTAAGCAGCCACCGGACTCCCTTCTCCAGGGCCTCTATGCAGGGATGCCTGGGGGGGAAGAGGAGGCACTGAGCGTGTCTGCCACCACTCTTTGGGGGAAAGCGCCTCTGGCTACAGCCCAACCTGCACCCTCACCCTCGGGCTGCCAGCCCGTGGAGGATGTAAAATGCTGAGTGATGACCGAACTGTCGCCGACGCACACAAGGAACTGCCGCCCACCACGAGAGTTAGCATGCTGCAGGCTGCCGCTGCACATTTTCTACCCAGAATCCCAGAGAAATGCAAAAGGCAGCCAGTGTGGAGATGAGCAGGCCAGGTAGGCAGCCCCACACACATGGCTGGTGAAGGGCCCTGCCTGCTCCAGACCTGCCCCAGGGCCCTGAACAAGATGCACTCTTTGGCTCACTCTAGGACAGAAGGAGGTGAAACTCGTGCCTGTCCAGCCCACTGGTCCTCAGGCCCCTCTGAGGGCTGTGCAAGCCACGTGTGCTAATCCTCACTAATCAAGGGAAGGGATGACACCACAGGACTGAGCTCGGCTGCTGCTCCTGCTCACACTGACCTAGTCTAACATTGAGGGAGTTTTAGGAAGATTCCCCAAATGGCCTCAAAGGCCACAGGACCGCACAGACTGGGACACTGTGCGTGTCTGCGTGTGCGTGCGTGCATGTGCGCTCTCATGTGCGTGTGTCTGGGCCTGCGCGCGCACACGGAGGCAGGAGCAGCTGCAGGGCCCTGCCTCGCCCTACAGTCTTGTCCCCCTTGTCACTCTGGGTGGTCTTCTAGAAGGCAAGCCTCTCTGCAGGAACCCCCTTGCCCTGCAGGCCTCACCTCCCACGTCTGCTCACAGCTCACCCACCCACACCCCACCCACGCTGCCTGCTCGATGCTCAGTGTCCTTCCTCCTCCTGACCCCCACCTGACGGCCATGAGCCCCATCAAGGCCCAGGACGTGTTGTGGATCTGGGACGTGGCACTCTGTATGTAACGCCGTTCCTTGCAGGACTCGAAGTCTTCCCCCCAGCCCCCGTCCGCCATCTGCTGGGATAGCAGGAAGTCACAGGCCCGGGAGACTGCCGCACACACGGCCCTGTAGACACCAGCAACACAGGAGATGCTGTCACTCCGGGGAGGTCCCAGGTCCCCACTGGCCAGGCCTCCCCAGGGGTAAGGGGAGGAGTATGGCGGGGGTGGGGAGGGGGAGGCAGTCTGACTCCGGTCCCACCCACCACATAAGGTCCACCCACCACAGAGACACCTGGCTCCTAAGTTTGCTGGGAAGATCAACTGAAAAGCTCTGTGGCTGCAGATGCCACGCAGATATGACCACCCCTGAAACCCCACAAAGCAGAGCTGGGTGAGGTGGCTGGAGACAGCTCAGACCTGAGGCCACCCTCCCATCTCTCAGCCCAGCCCAGTGGGTGTCCCACTGGGCGTGGAGGCCAGGTAAGCCCAAGGTGCCCCTCCACACACAAGCCAGAAACTCCCCAGAGGAGCCCGGCAAGACCCCAGTCCAGTGTCTTTACTAGAAGAGGTGTTGTTGGCTCATGAGCAGGAAAATAAAAACACCCCCCCCAAACTGACTTCAAAGGAAAAGACACCCCCAGCAGTGTTCTGCTGAGAAGAGCCTCACTCCAGTGGGGGCAAATGCCCACACTCACCCGCTGCGGTAAGTCTGCCCCATGCAGGCGAAAGCTTCCAGCCCGAACCAGGTGCCATAGGTGAAGCAAACTCCCCAGGAGCTGGACGAAGACAAAGGAGGGGCTCAGCCTTGTGGTCTCATTCAGATGGGTGTGCAAAACAACAGGAGTTCTGCCAGACTTTGGGAACACCCTCCATCATGGGGTCAGGGAAGCTGGCGTGATTTTCAAGAAAACCATCCAAGTGGCCAAGCGAGCAGCCAGCTCCAGTGCCTCAGGCTTTACGGCCCAGGACAAGGAAAACACACCTAACGCCTACCCCCCACCCCTCCCGCCGCTCCCGGCCCTCACGGGTTGGCTCCAGCTGCTGACGCCACAAAGCAACATGAACTGATCCACACCCAGAGGAAGCAGTGATCACAGACACGACAAACCAGGCACCAGGCCACCAAGCCCTTCCAACACACTCGGCCAAACCGCTTTAGCAGCGAGCTGAGCAAGCACCGCCAGGGTGAGGCCAGGCGTTCAAAACCAAACAAGGTCCAAAATCTGTCGCTAGAAGCTCACTCCTGGAACACATGACTGAACATCACAGGAGCACTGAAGAGCAGAGCCCTCCCGGCCCACGCACACACGCATACCCGGGAGCTCACTTACCCTTCCCAGGAGCCGTCAGCCCGCTGCTTCTGCCGACAGAACTCCAGGCCCTGCTCGAGCGTCTCCCTGGAACACAGGAGGATGGCTAACCCAACACAGCAATCCGCCCACCCCGAGCATACCCGGCCCACGGCCTCAGAAGAACCAGCAAGGTCTCCCTTACAAAAACGGGTAAAAAACAACAGTTGAGAGAAGAAATGCAAAGGTCAGAGAATAAGGGAGGAGAGGGCACAGGAGGAAGAAGCAAACTGACAGTGAAACGAAATGCAGGAGGGAAGTAAAATGTCAGTGAGGAGCAGCTACAGACACAGACTGTTGTTTCACTGCAATAACGTCACCGACACGAGCTTGAGTAAACATACAGAATGAAACTTTAAAAAGAAATGAAAAATTAGAGAGAAAATAATAGATTTTGAGGGCAGAGATTCATCCTAAGTCTAACTGGTACTTTGGGAGAATTAACTGGTTCTCTGAAAAGGCTGAAGTGAAGGTATAAATACACCCTCCAAGGTGACCCCCATGACCCTCGGGTGTGGGCAGCACCTGAGACTTGTTTCCAAACAACAGGTTGCAGCCAAGTTGATGGGACATCACTTCCGTGACTCAGGCACAGGGAAGTCTAGCTTCTGTCTTGCAAGCAGACTCCCTGGCCCTTCCCGGCTTCATGAGATGCCACAGAGGTGCCCAGATGGCAAGAAACTGAGGGTGGCCTCCAGCCAATGGTCAGAGAGGAAATGGGACCCTGAGGCTGACATTTTGCAATGAATGGAAACCTGCCAGCAATTACATGAAACTCCATAAGACCCTCCCTTTGCCGCTGCTTGGACGAGACCCCAGTCCTGGCCAGTATCCTGGCTGCAGCCCCGTGGGACGTGCAGCCGAGCGCCTGGCTAGGCTGTGCCTGGGTTCCCGACGCACAGAAACTGTGAGGCAACAGACATGTGCTGTTTGAAGCCACCAAGTTTTAGTAATGTTGTGACACAGCAAGAAATAACAAAGGATGAAGGGACAAAAATAATACTAGCGACCAGAGTGATGTGACAAGTATAGTGGAAACTAAAAGAGAAAATAAGAAAACTTGACGCAGCATATGGGAAAACTTAGAATGCACAAACTACTGGGAAAGTAGCTTCTCAAAACTGTCTCAAGCAGAGAGGGAGCCTGGATGGTTCTACAACTACTAAAGACAGGAGTTGTAGATTTAAACTTTGCCCAGAAAAAGAAGTTGAGGCCTAAAAGTTTAAAAGATGAGTTCTACGGGGGCGCCTGGGTGGCTCAGTCAGTTAAGCACCCGACTTTGGCTCAGGTCATGGTCTCGCAGTTTGTGGGTTCGAGCCCCACATCGGGTTCTGTGCTGACAGCTCAGAGCCTGGAGCCTGTTTGGGATTCTGTGTCTCCTTCTCTCTCTGCCCCACCCCGGCTCATGCTCTCTC